AGTCGTGGAAGTCGAGAGCTAATCTTTCTCCTGGATCTTCGTAGTTGGATCATGATGCTCTCTGTATATGCTGTCTGGCCTTGGACACTGTGCATGACTCGCATTCCACTCCTGTTGGTCCTCGGATGACCACCCCCTGAGATGCGCGCACTAGGTGTTCCAAAGCTTGTGAGCCAGGATGTCCTAGTTGTTGATGCCACAGCCACGCGTTCCAAGTGAGGGGAGATCTTCTGGACTATGAGTTGTGTAGATGCTTCTTGCTTTGTCGTGCGATGTGAAATATAGTATTCGGGTCGTTTGGTTGGTAGTCGATGACATATTGGCCGTACATGTCCTTGATATGGCCGACCAAGATATTGTCTCTTCTTTTGAGACTGGTCTGCCTTTCCTTGTTGTCCCACCAATATCCTCTCCGTCTGAGTTCTCGTAGGGATACGAGAGTGGTGAGGAGTGAGGGGCAGTAGGCTGTATTTGGGAAGCTGATAATCGTGCTTCCGACGCATACTTGCATACTTTCGTACGCTTGGATGGGTAGAGGGCGGTCTCCTGACCATACAAAATCCCCTGGTGGCGCAGTCCTCCAGCTGGTTAGACGCCATGCTTGGTTTGTGATTGTGATGGTGCTTCCACTGTCTAAAATGACTGAATAGGACAGTGGATAGTCATCTGATTTGGCCGCTGTGAAGGCTGATGGCACCTTACTCATCGTTCTGCCATAGAGTCAATCTTGAATCTCTTTAGGCTTTTCTCCTTTAGGTTGAGGAGTCTTTGTGCTTGATTTTGTCTTGTTCTGCTTTAAGGCGCGGACTTGAGCTTGTAGTTCTGGATCTTCCAAGGCTTGGGTTGTCTTTTCGACAAGATAGTCCCTAGGTCGGAAGCCCTTCCATGCCTTCTCCGGGAAGACATAGAAACAATTCGCCAATACGTGATCCATTCCACACGCTGGACATTCGGAATGGTCTTCATCCCTACTTCTCTCGTTCCTCGGTCGGCGTTTGGTCTGTTGTCTCTTAGGCCTTTTGCTTCCGGCTTTTTGTTCTTCTTTGCCAGAGCCCTTACCGTTATAGGTAGACCCAAATGCACCTTTGGAGGCTTGTCCAGCTTTGTTGGTGGTCCGCAAAATAGCTCTTGTGAAGTCGTTGACAAGATCTCGATGTTTGAGAATCCCGTGCCGGATTTGTTTGTCTTTGGTAACCGCGTAAGTGTTTGACCACATGGGAAATGCTTCGGATACCGCGTCCAGGAAGTCTCTGGCCCATGAGCTCATGCTGAGCGTTTCGGGAACTTCCTTCTGATGGGCCTTCGTAAAGGCGATCTCCTAAGAAGCAATCCATCTTGCTGCGTTCTTGGGATTTTTGAGGGGTTGGAGTGCTGTCTTGTAGAGTTGTTTTGCATCCTCCTGCTCATCTGCACTTGCCATTCTGCACTGGGCTTGGAGATTTGCGTACCACTCCTAGATTGGTTGTTTTGGAATGCAGCAGGTGGTCTTGTAGTGGTTTGCGACAGACTTGAGTATATGGTTCTTGATCTTTTCCAAAGACAGTGCTTGCTTCTCGTGCAGCTTCTGGATTCGATTGTAAAAGCTATTATCGAGTTCATAGGTTTGTTTCCCCGATGTCATTAGATCTGATAACATCCACACACCATTGTTTCGCTTGTGTTGAATGATTTCGTCGTCTTCGTTCCCGTCATTCGGATCAGGATTGATTTCGATGGTTTGGCTTGATTCGAGAGTCGTTCGTTTCTTCTCGTATTTCTTTTGTGCAATATTCGGAATCTCTGGTTGTGGTATAATTCCCTTCTTCTGAATGAGGCGGTCAAGCAGACCTAAGGCGTCTGCCTTCAGTTGGAACTCATGGTCCCATTCGGGCCATTCTCTTGCTTCCGACAGTGATGCTGAGAAGTCTGCTTTTTCAGACTCTCGCAGGGTTGAAAGAATAGGCAATTTAGATATACAGGATAAATGGGTTTAGTCAAAGGGATCGGCGATGAGACTCTTAATTGTCAGATTTGAGCCAATCGTGAGGTTAAAGTGTGTCTGTGTATTCTGTCTCTCTAGAGTGTTCTCGTGCGACCGTGGCAGTTTTGTGTCAGAGGGGGCTGGATCGGGACGGAACAACTAGTTTCCGGTGTCTACCTATCAAGGTGCCCTCTGGGCTCACCTTTAATCCAACAGAAACCTGCTCAAATATTTCTTGGCGTCATAGCAGCGTTGTGTGCTTCACAAAACGCTGTAAGGAAGTCCTCCTTTGAAATATGGGTTATATAACGCCGGATGAGATCCTCAATCATGCGACCGTAAGCTCGTTTGAGCGGGTTGAAACAGCTGATATCTAAAGGCTAGAGCCTGTACAACGAGTGGGCAGGCATGCAAAGAGTAATAATGCCATTATTCTGACAATAATTCTCAAAGACCTGGGAATGGTGGCTTTTGTAACCATCTAGGACGAGAAGGCGTTTACCGGCAGTCATACGCGGTCTGGTATACTTGTTGAAATACTACATCCATTTCAACCTGATCTTATTTGTAGTCTATCTATTGTCAGACACGGCCACCTTCTAATCGCGTGGTAATGTCATGTCGCGATACCATAATGCAAGGTGGATTTTGCCCTGTAGAATAATGAATGGCGGGACCACCCAACCATCAGCATTGATAGCAGAGATTGCTGTAGACCATTCTCTGTTGCCTTGCTGAGCTTGTTTAGGCCTGTCACGTCTTTCAATGCTTGTGATGACCATACCAGACACAATAATGCCCATCATAAACCCAGTCTCGTCAAAATTATAAATATCCGTGTCTTGGATACCATGTTTTGCGATTGCTGCACCAACTTGGCAAAACCACGCGCAATATACGTCTGGATCTTTGTTTAAGACCCTTGAGTAGTACATCTTGCGATGAAAACGTGTCCAGAGACCTAGTGTACATTTGATGAAGTTTGCCGTCTAGTTCTTTCTGACGCGTCCAGCCCCACGTGCCGCCAATAACTGATTTGCCATATCTTCAACATAAGTGTACCAGGGCAGAAATACTCGCGCATCCAGGTCAAGTATGAAGGAGCAAATGGCATTCTCTTTAGAAACTGTAAGTTTCAAAGAATTGGGCATGTTATCGCGTCGTGATGGTCAGCCGGTAATTCTTTGAGCCAGTGTAGAGATTTATAGGTGGAAAGGTTTAGCAAGCTTTAAAACAGAAATATAAGGATCTTGTTTTTGAGCTTGGACAGCTAGCTGCATGTCTGATTTATTATAATGTAGTGCCATTATTGTGAGTGGAGGAATACTGGTTGGAAGTTAAAAGTTTGAGAGATTCATGAAAGTGTCTTACTCGCTTGTGTGTCCCGCTCACTTGTGACCTATGTTAACACTTATATAATTAAGTAAAAACTTTTTTTTAATTATAATATAATAAAACACTACCAGGGCATTCAAACCCTTAAACCGAAAAAATCCATTTTGCGCAACCCTTTTATAAATTTCACTCTTTTAGAAAACTGTCTACTTTTAACCCCTGTCGCTGAGGCTGTCGCCGAGGCTGTATTAAAAACATCATGAGTAAGCCGCGAGCCCTACACGGCTTTAAAGCGACTTGTTCCAGCCCCTAGACAAGCACTTGGTATAAAACCTACCCATTTCATTTAACAGTCCCTGATAAAGCATTAGTTCGGAGGTGCGTCGACATAGAGTTCAAAATCGACTGATAAGCAGTGTTATAACGTGAACTTGTAACATCCGGCTGCCTAGTATTAATTATATATAACACAACACAAGGAAAGCTGGTCGACCAAAATGTCTAGTCTATTTTCAGGAACTTTGATTAATACACCAGGCATATGTTTTTACACATTTTTCACTTATCGTTTCTTTACCTAACCTATTACTACAACATGCCTTTAAAGAACAACGAACGAGTTTCATAACAACACCACAGGTAAAAAGGGATTTCGTAAATTTGACGACAATGGACAAGTTACGAAGCCTTCTTACCCATGCGAACTTAAGCCCGGGACGTGTTGCCAGTCTCACTGTCGATATCGGCACCTTGCAACGCATCAGCATTGGCCGTGGTGTCGCAGTAGACAACGCAGAGGCCTGCCGACTGATAGGAGGCAAGTCAACTTCCCGGAGGATCTTCCGAAATCTTCTCGTGCTGGCGGCGACACCGAAGCGGATGACCCAGCAGGACTGTGAAAAGCATAGCTTTACGGACGGCCACAACTACCCAATACCACCCCTAATGTTCACATGGACTTAAACGGAGTGGGAATCATGGAAGCCTTTGCTCACATGTCTGGACTGAACCTTTTTGACTGAAGTGCAAGCATTACTTCAGAGTTTGCCTGGATGACTCTAGGTTGTGTAGTTGTTACCGCAGTCCACCGCCAAATAGAAATTGCCTACGATTCAGGCGTTCCGAACGGATATTTCCCTTGATGCTCTGGTACCTCTTAATGTTCTATCATCTACCAATCAAATTTTCGGAGACGCCACCACATGTTCCCCTACGGATTTCATCTGTCAACGTCGTTACATTTAATTTGGAAAGCTTACTCGCATCAGGCCTTGCATACGAGCCAAGCGTCAACATGAGTATGATCCGGAGTAACATTCTTAGCCTCATTAGAAGTTGGGGATACTATGATACTGCGACACTGCTATGCAGCTAGATGAACCAATCTCGAACGATCTACGTATAGAAAAAGATTTTGCCTCGACCGCGTCGACGCGCAGGGTGAAACAGCGGCATAAGCAATAGCATGACGAAAAAATCGCAGCACTACACTGCTTCACGATTATAATAGTACCACCGTAAAGACATCTCGTGGGCCTAAATGCCTGGTCCATTTCGAGGAATCTTTGGTCGATGCCTCAGGTTCGATCTTGTTATCCACACACCTTGTTGTCCATGGAAGTTGCACAACACTGAGTAAAAAATCCGTCGCCACATCTTCCGAACACAACGAATACGACACCGAACTGTCGCCTCACAAGACATCATGGATATCGATCTCTATTACGAAGACTTCGCCAACATGGAAAACTCACTCGACATCAATGCCGACGGCCTATTCCCCAACACGGAACCTAACATCATCGTTAACTTAGTGACCGACATCACCACCATGTAGCGGATTAACACCGGTGGCGAAATGGCCGCAGACGACCAAGAGAGTCGCCGCCAAACCGCAGGTGAGTCGATTTCCCGAGGATGTTCCAGAATTTCCTTGTGCTGATCTAACTGTTCCGCAGTGCGGCTACGAGACCTGTTGAGCGACCTGGGCGACCTGCAACCGGGTAGCGCCACTCTAACGGGATTGATCCATGCATTACAAGAAATGCTCGATGACGCCGAGTAATTGTCCATCTCTCACGCAGCCGCAGACCAGGGCGATCAAGCGCCTGCCTCCTTCTCCTTCTCCTCCTCCTCCTCCTCTTCTACCGACAACGACGAGGAAGACGGCGACAACGATAACGAGGACGACGAAGCCAACGCAAATGAATAGCAGACGACTTTTGCCTGCGGGATTCGCCGAAAGAGTTATAAAAGGCTTTAAAGCTACCGGCAATATTTACGCACAGCGTATCCCGGCTTATATTGCTTTTAGTTTGCGTACAATACGACGACTATAACAGAAGGAATAATGTTGAAACATCTTAAATTAACCCATGTGTAGTCTATTTTAATCCCTATTAATAAACGGCGTAGTTTCGCGTATTTTTAATATAACTACGAAAGGATTTTAAAACTTCCTCGCGTTATATTACGCTTTAAAGCCTAATATAAAGCCTCAACTTAACCACTTAAGTATAATATTACGTGATAATGAAAATTAAAATATACCACGATGTTATAAGCTAATAAGTTATATTGAAAGTTTTTTTTTTTACTTCGTTAAAACGGAAGCATATAAAGCGTCGTATAAAAAAAGACCAGAGTAATATAACTTAACGTTAAGCTGTAAAAACTATAATCTAGAGTTAAAAGCGATGATATAAAGTGCATTGCTTATTACAGTTGGTCCTGCGAGGCTGAATCGTCGATCCCAGGTGAATTTCCATTAAACCCCCGTCTTAATTTTCATTAACTTGCCCCCCATTATTCTTCCACAGCAAGCGATTGTGGATATTGTGCATTACTACAAAAGAACCCGCACCCATTGCACCGGACCAAGCCAGACAAAACGCGAAGTCAAGCGTGGCATCACCAGACACCATGGCAGACAACTACGATTTCACTTCGCTGGCACTCATGCCGAACATCAACCCGGGAATTGTCGCAGGCCTCGCAGTCGATATTTCTGCCTTCAACAGAATTTCCATCATCTCAAATGCACTCATCACCCCGGCCGATACCGACACATGTCGGCTTTTCGCAGGTACGTCGATTTCAAGACAAGGGCTGGAAAAATTATCAGTGCTGACTCAGACGTTTCACAGCCCACCTCAGAACGATTATCGATGATATGCAGCCGCACATGACGGCATTCAATGACAAGATCGAGGAAAAGCGAGTGCAGCTAACCGACGGAGGACATGCGATTGGAAACCGGGGCGTGGATCAGGAGACGATCAACCTTTTGCATCGCCGTATAATGCTTGAACGGTTCATTGAAGAACTCGAGCAGATGATACGAAGTGTTGAAGCCAAAGTTTCGGCTCATCACGCAGCCGCAGAGGGGGGCGGTCAAGCGCATGCCTCCGACGAGGACGAGGACGATGAGGATGGCGACGACACGGAAGACGACGACGCGGAAGACGACGACGAAGAAGACAACGAGCAGAGCATTTTCGCCTGCATTCAGTGCGGCAAGACTTACGCCCGACAGAGATCCCATCGACAGCACGTTCGCATGAGCCATCCGGGACTGCAATGCCGGCATCCGACTTGCGGACTCACGACCACGACAGAGCGGGACATGCTCAGACATCTCGAGGCCTCCCACATTATATCTTCCGATGTGATCTTGAATGAACAGAGCAGATTCCCCTGCTCTTGGGCGAGCTGCGGTAAGACGTTCAAGGCCATCAGCTGTGTCCGACGGTGTGTGCTCTACCACAAAACCGCCGCATGAGAGGCCAAGCCGCATCAATTCGGGGGCCGGTGGATGGGGCAGATCAGATGCACCCGGCATTATAAGTGGTAGATAGCTAGCACGCAGACACAACCACAGACCATGCAGCAATGTCGGATAAGGACCAAGGGATATGGCAACACATATGTATTTGACGAGTTCCATGCTGTGTGAAAATGGCCCGAGACCGAAGGTGCCAGGGGTTCCAGGATGACCAAAGACATCACGATGTCTGCCCCGCCTGATTTACATCTACCTTCAACTGCCTTCTTGCATGTGAAATCCATGGTACATCAGTCCAAAGCCCCATCCCCCAAAATGCCTTACCAAACAGTCTCCAAGCCATCCACACCAACGGGCTGTTCGCCAAGCGTAGTGATCCTGAACCCATGACGAAGACCCTCTGCCGCACTGTGCACGTCGTAGTCCGAAATAGCCGTGTGGCTCGTGACGCGGTTATCCCAAAGCGACACGGTCTGGTCGTCCCATTTGACCCGGACCTGAACATCTTGGCTTTGGGCAATATGCTACGCGCGCAGCATATCAGCCAGTGACTATATGGGGCGCGAGAATAGGGGCAATATACCTTGAAGAGAAGCTGGAGTATGGCGTCGGACTCTTCGACCTTCAAGCCCACGATGCGTTTGGTGAAGCCTGGGTTGACGAAGAGTGCTTTCTCGCCCGTCACCTATTGAACCATTAGTTGAAGTTCGACCATATGGGAGGAATTGACTCTCTGGATGAACCCTCACGACTGGATGGTGTGACTTGACAGGCTCCCGCCGAACGAATCTGCCATCACGGCGCGCATGCTCCGCCTGTGGATATCCGCTGTGCTCCGCGCGCAGACCCTCTAGGAGATTCTTGATAGGGTCAGACAGCCGCTCGTATGCCGCGACTTGCGACACCCAGGCGGTGTCGCCCCCAGTAGCAGGCACACTGAGAAGCGTGAGCATCGTGATTCCCGGTGGTTGATGCTCATACGAGACATCCGAGTGGTAGCCTGTCGTCGACAGACGGTCGGAGCTCAGTTGCGCACGGTACAGGTTGTCGGGCCCGAGATAGATGTTGTGGAACTCGAGTGCGCCTTCTACATGGGCACCGACGGGCTGCGTAGAGGGTCATTTGTGGTTTCGCAACTAGCTATATATGTCCTGGAAGAGGTGACCTACGTGAACGTGCAGACGGCCGAAGTACGACCCGAACGCTTTCTGCTTCTCCACGCCGATGTCCTTGAAGTCCTGGCCGCGGAACACCACGACGCCCCGCTCGGCGATCAGCAGCGCCAATTCATTCTTCTGGACATCCGTCAACTCAGAAAGTTGAAGGCCGACGATGTCTGTACCGACGCGGGGCGTCAGCCTCGTGATCTTGACGTTCGGGTCGTCCAGCTGGAGGAGGTGGGGCTTGGCTTTGTTGGCCTGGAGGCCGCGGTCGACGAACTCGAAGGGCTCGGTGGCAGGGAACTTGGTCTCCTCGTCGTAGACTGGTAGGTAGCTGCTGTACGTGTACTATGACAGATTCAGCAGGCCGCTGTCACGAGTTGATATTTTGGACTCACCGACGAGTGCTGAGCTGCCTCGTGTGCTCGGTTGAGCTTCTTCTCTGCTACAGTATTCAGCTCTGAAGTACTTGAGATAACGTCTACCACTGATGGTGCCATGATTCATTCAACTGGATTGTTTTCTAGATTATCTGATTGCCCTTGGTATGATCCATCCCGCGTTGATATGTATAACCACGTCGATGGACCCCGCACATTGCTCATCCCATGGCCGTATGATGACATCGAGGGGAGGAGAACGGTATCGAATGACGCGACTGCCAGTATACGACAACCTGCCCCGAAAGCACGACAGATCTGGAATATCGTGTTGATTGTGGAAGACAAGTCACTCCATTCGTCAACGCTCGTGGAGGTGGTGTCATCGCCCACACCACCATCTCCAACACGACTCCAAGCGTTCCCAAAACCCATCATAAATGTAAACACAGATACAGAGAGATTGATATTCGACGTGGCACCCACGTTCTATAATTTCTGTCACTTCGTGCCTGGCGTGGTAGACAATATACCTCGACCAGAGAAGAACCAGCGCCCAGCCCAACCTTTACCTGCCCCTGTAACGCCCTCGACTTGCCAATGTAGGTTATTAAAGACTCGACATAATCTCGAAGGGAACCGCAGTACGTTTCAATACATACTCCACGTGTGCATATCGTTGTACTGTAAGACACAAAACCCGCAGTCCGAACCATGGAGGCAGCCCTTATTGTCACATAGAAGCGTTCACGAGAAGTTCACAGTAGATAATGTCAGAAGTTGGGTATTAGAGTTACAGCAAAACGAGTGAACCTAGGCCATCTAGAACTTGTAGATCTGATCCTTCGTATAGCCCATCTGCTCCAAGATACCAGGCTGCTTCCTGGTACCCATAAGAGCAGCCTCCATGGGCGGCGGACCGCAAACAAAGACCTTCGTATTCTTCACCTTCGGCGACGCCCCAACCTCCTCCAACAGCTCCTTCGTGACATATCCTTTCCGCAACGGCGAGCCAGGCATCGGGTTACTGACCGTGTACACAGCCTTGAACCGTCCCGGATAGCGCTGCGCGTACGCGTCGAACTCCTTCTTCAGCAGCACGTCGGCGTCGGTGTTGACACCGAACACGAGCGTGATCCGGGTCTTCTCCTCCGGGTTGCGCAGGATGCCCTCGATGAGGGCGTACATGGGCGTGATGCCCGCGCCGCCCGCGATGAAGGTCACGTCTGGGTGCTTGTTGGGCGTCCATTTGTAGCCCGGGATGGGGACCAGGAAGCGCATTGTGTCGCCCGCCTGCAGAGAGTGCATGTGCGTGCTCTGCTTGCCGTTGGGGTACTTCTTGATCAGGAATTCCAGGACGCCGGGCTCTTCTGTCGCATTTGTCAGTGGAATGGACGATGATTGGCGATGCTGGGCACTTACCTGCGTAGGTGATGGGCGTGTAGGGTCGGACGCAGGGTAGCCAGCTGCCCTTTGGCCATGAGTATGTGAGTAGTGCAGCTATTTCGAGGGTTAATTTTCCGACACTCGTCTATATCGCATTGTCCTCCGCTACTCACAAGAAATGCTCAGTCCCGTGAGCGTGTCTTGCGTGGGCAGTTCGAATCTCAGCCTCTTCGTGTTGTCATTGATGGGTACGCTGCTTTCGAGCTTCAGCGACAGGAATGCCGGTCCCTTGCCGAATGCCTTGGGGGGTGACCCCGAGTCCGCGTGTGCTGTGGGCATCATGAATCTGTAGTAGAGGACTGCTCCTACGCCGGCGACTGCAACTCCGCCTAGGCCAGTGGTGAGTCGATTGGTGAAGAGTGGTCTGGCAGCCATGTTGGGACGGGCTAGTGGAGGGCTATAAGAAGGGACGCAAGACGCGGCTTGTGCGCCCGGAGGTGGTATGCGGAAGGTGGTGGAGGGTCCTAGGGAGGTCGTCGGACATCCCCTATTGCCTCTTTCGGGCTGTGGTGATATACGTGATTGGATGCCTTGGTGGAGGTGCAGCAGGTAAGGTTTGGTAGAAGAGGAAGATGGCAGCTTTGACTAAAACACAAACAGTGGAGTGAATGATTTAACTGAGAATGAGAGGATTTTCTGGTCAGATTCTTATTGCTCGGACGAAAGCGTCGTCTGGTATTAAGATCGTGTGGCGCCGTCTTACAACAGATGTAAGCCCACCGGGACCGAACAGCGCCCCACCGCGGACACACCTGGTGTGTCCGATGTCCGAGCTGATGGTGGCTCCAAAAGACCCCATTCTCACTCGTACGATCCTGAGGTAAATAGTCTTCCAGTCCGAGCCGAGCTGCGCGAGGAATCAAATGATTATCTTAAAACCAAGACATGTCGCTGCCTGGCGCGGCGGTTGTGTGCAAAGACGACAGAACTTAGTCGGAGATAAGGAACGATCGGGCCCGTCTTCTGGCCCCGCGCCGCCCGAATTGGCTGTTTTTGTAGGATCGTGGAAAATATATCGGGGGAAAGACTGCAGCCCTCCTCATAAACCCCTATGCAGTAGGTCTCATGGCAGGTAGGGTGTCTGTCACGCAGGCTCGGCGCATTCAGCCCTACCGGACATGCTCCACGCATGCATTGTTGTCTCCGAGAGTATGACTTCGGTGTCCTGGGCTGTGTCTATTAATAGCTGCGTCGCTTGGGCGGGGGGTTCCACTCCGAGACGGTCGTCGGCAATAATCTTTCCCGCCTGCGAGGGCGCTCTTCAGCTCTAATAACACATCCCTCTTCGCTTACGCAGACCGCTCAGGCAATTACCATACGGGTGCCTGAGTACTGGCGCACGTCAAGCACCTGACGGCGATTCTATCAATCGCCAAGATTCTCTCGACCAGGCATAAACCACCGACCCCCAAGACAGCGCTTTCAGCCAAGGGTGCACGTGACAACACGTCCCCGAGGAGAGGACACCCTGATACCCCACGCCGCCGCCTTGTGGTAAAGGCTACCCCGGGAAACGTTGGGAAGCTCGGGGACGGACTTGAGTGGAGGCGCCGGTTGTTCGCTGGATGTCGTTAGGGAACAGTGGATTGTGCCCCTTCAGATTCCACACAGCTCACCAATCCGGCTATCGGACGCGAAGTCGCTGCGCAACGGCGACGTTGGGGCACGGTGCTCCGATGTACGCGCCCGTTGCCACAGCTAGGCTGGCGCAGACCGCGCAGATACGCCGACTCGCCGCTCGCCGTTGAGGATTCGCATAGTATTGATGAGGTGCGGCCGGTGCAGAAGCCAGCCGGCTTGCAGCGAGAGGTCGGAACGCGCTGGGAAGAGGTCAAGTTTGCGGGAGAGAAGCCGGGTTGCAGCCCCGGTCCAAGTACTGCCATTGACAAGCCGAGTGTCCAGCCTGACTAAGCATTTTTACACATACACATACAATTCGGAGCTGGCATGCGATAACGACAAAAGTACGTTTTCTAGCGACCACGCTCCCAAACCGACGTCGCATCTGTCATTATGTATGTTTCTAGATAGCCCTGATTTGCTAATTATTTAAGAACATATGGAATGATATATGCGACGTTGACTTGGAAGCGTAATAGTTGCAAAGCGTACTTTTATCGAGAGATGCCGAGGTCTATTACCTTACGAACATTAACCTGACGGCAATAACGATAAAAGTATCATTACGCTCCTAAATTAACGCCGCATACGTACATAATACATTCTTAAGATAAGTACAAATCAGGGCTATTTAAGAATGTATGGTTGACATATGCGACGTAAGGTTCGGAAGTGTTGTCGTTAAAAAACGTACTTTCTGGTTGTCTGGCAGTAGCTCAGAATTGTGTGTGTGTGCGTGTAAAAGTGATGTGGGGCTGGGCACTCGGCTTGTCAATGGCAGTACTAACGGCAACCAAGCACAACCCCGGATTTGTCGATTCTTCCTCGCGACTCTCCCAACTTCCCACTCACTTCAATGTCAAACGTTCCATCTCTTGTGTCAATAACAAGGGACATGGGAAACGGATGATAGCGAGGTGATGAAACGCTCGAGACATCGTGTCGAAAGGCAGAAGTGAAGCTGTCCCAGTTACCCGGAAACTCGAGTAAAGTCGCGGCCACCGGCTCGAGTCACACCGCTCGTACATTTTCACACACTCCCGTCTTGCCTGGCATCATTCATCGGACCGTCCATCCACGTTTCCAGTGGACTACAGTGCTGATGTCTGTCCCTGGTGAATGTGGCTCTTCAATCTGTGTCCAATCCGTTTTTCTTTCCTTTTTCCCGTTTCGAGTTCGGGATACCGAGTTGGATGGTGTTGATCAGATGCGACGATGCCATGAGACTCATTTCCCTTGCCGCTTCTTGAAATTACGCATGTCATCCACACCTGCCGTCGTCGCACGGATGGCGCGTTACCGAAACGCTTCCCCAGGGGCGGAGAAATATCCCCAGATAGCGCATGGGGGTATATTATTGTGTGGTATATGATAGGGTATACGCTCAAACGATACCCTAGCCACGATCCCCTGCGGCTCTTCGTCTTAGCGCTGTGCATCATTTGTTATCATGCTGATCGGATGGCCGACAACGACGCACGACGTCATCCCGACCGGGCACAACTCCAATGCCGCGTCCAATCCGTGTGCATTGCCGGCCTCATCTTTGGTATATCCCTGTCTCCCAGATCTCATTGGAGCCCACCTCGGCGGGGAGGGTTTGACTGCTTGGATTCGTGTCTCTGATTGAGATACTACCATTCCGGGAATTGCGCTACGGCCCGACCATAGCAAGTCATCGCAATGTGTGTGTGTATGTGAAGAGCTCTACCCAAGCCGCTTTGGAGCCTCGAACATCCGGTCTACGATATTCGAGTCCTATTCCTGTTCTGCTATCGGTAGAGAAGACCCCCACCTTGCCGAGACCGCCCCCTGAGTTGACGGTTGCATGGTTGCCTGTTTCAGCATATTCTCCGATTGTTGTCGCCGCATATGGCACCGTTGCTTTTTATATCGCGGGTGCCGCAGCGCGTTGAAATCAAGGTCGGCGCGATGACGCCCGATGTGGCTCGCTGGCAGCTTAATTCTCCTTTTATAGGCTTTGACCCCATTGTAAACTTTCTCACTGGTTCATTCATGCAGATCCCTTCGTTGCGCTGGATGAAACATCAGGCGTACCGAGATTACCAGAAGCTCGTCTTAGCCATCTTTGGTGAATCGAGATCTTCCCCGAGTTGCCAGGCCTCCACTGATCGAGAGAGCATCCACTGTCTCGACGTCCAAGGCGCATTTTGGCCGAAGCGAGCTGGCGAGCTCGTTTTCTTAGCTATAAGGGCCATGGGTCTGGACATGGGACTGGACATAGAACCAATGAGGAGCCGCCAGCAGTTGCTTAAGTGGTCAAATATCCCCTTTCAGTAGGCTTTTTGCAGCCCGTGTCCATGGAGATCTGTTACTTGCCTCCGACCCTACGTCAGCTGTGAGTTTCCTTGGAAGCCAGCAGGGAAGTGTCGTCCCCAAATAATGTCGGTCAAGGTTGATAAAGAATTGTGGTGACCAGCTACAAAACACGCGTTTCCCCATACTCACGTTTCCTCCATTGTTGAATATCGTCCGTCCGCTTGCCATTCTGTCTCCTTCACATCCCCCATCTTTTCGTCAACATGCCTCCACCTAATAGTAATGAACGACATCGATCGGACTCAGTCAGCATGCCGTGGCTTTCGGCCGAGGCTGACTCGTCCAACCCGGAAACACTCAATGAGATCCCGCTCGATGACAGCAGCTCCAAGCTACCGAGAGGCTCGGTCGACTCTCGCAAGGCGGGGACTGCTCAGCGACTTTCCGAGCTGCGAGCAGAGATGAAAGCGAACAAGGAACAGATCGAACAGCTCACGGAAGCCCACCGCGCTGTCCAGACCGCGGTGTCTGGTATCCATGCGACGCAAGAGTACATGAGTGTGGCGCCGATGAGGGGATCAGGTAGGCTGTCATGAGCACACACCGCTCTCCTATCCTCCGGCTAACTACCATCTGCAGTCGACAACAACATGCCGCCGGCGCGTAACGCAAGCACGCGTACCAATGCCAGCAGGTACTCCGAGGTGCAGGCCCAGTCCGACCGCCCGGCGCAACCGCTCGACCAGCCCCCCGGAATAGACCGACAAGGATGGGTCGACGACGAGTACTACGACACCAACCCGTGGTACGGCAAAGGCAAGGAGAAGCCCGTCTTCAGTCTCGGAAAGCCGCTGCCGCACAAAAGCCGAGCCTGGTCAAAGAAGAAGCAACCCAAGAAGAAGCCTTCAGAGGCCGACCCGGAGAAAGGGGAAGCCGGCGTGAGCCCGAAGAAATCCAAGAAGGGGAAGCGCGTGCAGATCGCAGAGGGCGAGGACCAGGAGATGATGGGTAAGGACGGCCCGAACCAGAATGGTGCTGGGTCGCCTCCTATTTACGACCATCAGCCCTGGGAGACCGACTTCCGTGTACCTGACCTCAATGCCGGCGGTGGCAGTCGGAAGAGGGGCCCCGGGTATGAGGAAGGTTCCAAGTACAAGGTTGACGGCGAGCCCGTGGGCCAGACTAAAGACGACGAGGCCGAGGAAGGCGAGACTGATCCGGAAGATCTCAGGAACTGGTGGGCTCGCATGCGCGCAAAGTACCCCGAGCCGCTCGCTGAATTCGCTTGTGTGAGTCTGACATGATCATCCAGACTGCTGAAACGAGACGGCTAATCAACTGTGCCATCACGTAGACTGGCCTGTCGGTTTTCCTCGGACTCTGTGCCACCCTCAGTGTCAACCTGAGTGCCAATCAGGAGACGCAGTACGGCACCTACGAGACTGCGTATGTATTTGACATTTCGATCACTCTGCTCACCCTCGTCCGGACCCCACCCCCGGCTTCCTTGTAACCCTCTACCACTAGTTTCACCCCTTCCCACAACCACCCCCTTCTTTTCCCTTACACCCCTCAACCCTTACACACCCTTACCCGATATTTCGGCACCCATCCCAATCTGGCTCACATTACCTTGCGTCGAAATTATGCTAATCACTCGTACAGTTGCTGGGCATGGGGCTTCGCCTTCATGCTGGGTATCTACTTAGGTACGTCGATTTCTTCAGCATATCACAGAGCAACAGCTGACACGATCCAGGCGGTGGCGTTTCCGGAGCGCACATGAACCCAGCCATCAGTATCTGCTTGTCAATCTTCCGTGGCTTCCCCTGGCGCCAATGCGCCATGTACATCGTCGTGCAGTTTCTCGCCAGCATCACGGCCGGAGCCATGGCCTACGGCACCTACTACGACGCCATCCACTACGTCGATCCGACCATGTCGTCGTCATACAAGAGCTTCTTCTCCTCCCCGCAGGACTGGGTCTCGGTCGAAGGGGCGTTCTTCTCGCAGTTCGTCGCTGGAGCGGTCATGATGATTGCCGTGTTCTCCCTTGGTGACGACCAGAACAACCCTCCTGGAGCCGGAATGCATGCTTTGGTAAGTCGAACCCACTGAAACTGCTTGAGCGAGGACTAATGAACATGACTCTAGATCCTCGGTTTCCTCCAAGTTACCCTGAAGTTCTGCCTGGGCTACAACACCGGTTCTTCCCTGAACCCCGCGTCTGACTTCGGCCCCCGTCTCGTCGCCCTGTGGGTAGGCTACCGCACCCCAGCCCTGTTCGACAATGCCTGGTGGATATACGGCCCGTGGGCCGCGGCTCTGACTGGGGCGTTGGCGGGCTGCATCTTCTACGATCTGTTCATCTTTGTCGGGAGCGAGTCGCCGGTAAACTACCGAATTCCCAAGGCTCTGCATAACCGCAAGAAGCAGATCAAGAACATTGGGCGGAAGTTCTGAGGTGGTTGCTCTGAGGAGAGGAAGGCTGCTGATCTTCATGTCATCAGCGTCGCTGGTCAGCAGTCCTCCGCGACCCTTTCTCAAGCCGTGGGACGAGAGGAAATGTACCTAAAGCGCGAAGGAATGGACTGTGGGGATACTTAAAAGCGAGGACAAGGAAACTGTTTCATTGAGCATATGTATAGCAAGCAAGGCGCTGGAAGATAAGGAGCGGCGAGACCAATACCCATAATGCGCAACACACGCCATTACTTAGACACATAGAAGTCTAGAGTTCAAAGACAAGCAACAATAGAATCATCAGTCACGGAGACAGGAGAGGAGTTGTATCTGCAGTGTTGCATGCTATGAAACCGAGCACTACCACACATAATTCCTTGGGTTCTTCCCAGATCTAGACGATCTCGCACACCTAATTTTGGGTTGTTCGGCAAGTAGCTGAGTATCAAGTATCCAGGTGCATTACCAGACTCGTCTTCAAGAGCACACCTTTTTGAACCCCTTTTTTGGGGTCATGCGATGTGAGCTGATGTGCAGTGTTTGGTGTCCATCCAATGACTAGCAGTAGAGACAATCTCAAGTAATGCCTCTCATGCTTGTGCAGGCGTATTGCGAATGATCTTGTAAGGGTCCATTTCCCCAGAGGTACCACTTGTCGATTCGTACGCCTGCCTTGCTCCCCCTTACTCCTCGCCAGGAATGTCGCGGGTGCCCCACTGGGTCTGTAATGGTAGTGTCAGTCCATAAGTCACGCAGACAGTTGTTGAGAAGGGTCAGGGTGAGCCAATCTACTCACGTTGTTGAGAGTTCCCCAAGTATACCAGTCATAGACAGCGTAGTAGTAGTCGGTCAGAACGAGAGCCCAGAGGTGTCGACACATCCAGGGGTATTCGCCCAGGAATTCGGCGTAAGACGGTGCGACCGAGCAGATGTACCATAGTAGGAGCATGGTACTGTGTCCAGTTAGTATATGGGACATGTTGGGATTCGAAGCAGATAACTCACGTGAGGCGCGGAGTGTAGTAAAACGACAGGAACCAGGCGGCGACATGGATGGCAGTGAAGACGGGTCGGGTGAGTCTCTCGAGCGTCTTGTACAGGACATACCATTGTCTGGAATATACTCATTAGCAAAACAATTCTCTCCTAGGACAGTTGCACCCCGCGCAGACTTACCGGTAGATTTGAGGCACTTCCCACAGCGATCGGAGGAACGACTGGATCGTGCTTCGCTCCCATCGTGCGAGCTGGGTCAGGAATGAGCTGTCGCGCTTGACGGTTCGAAGAATCTCGGTCTGTGGCATGATCTGGACGGCAAGCTTCCAGTTGTTGATCTGGAGCCAGCGAGAGATGAAGGTGTCGTCCGAGGCGTTGAGCTTGTGACCGAACCAGTAATCGTTCAGGTGGGCGTGCTGGAATTCGGCGTCTTTGAGGATGGCGGAGCGGTAGAAAGTGGTAGTGCCGGCTACATGGAAGTAGATCATCAGTACTCGTTGGATGATAGGTCCTTGCAAACCGGTTCAAAGGCTGACGGGAGATGGGAGGGGGCATTAACTTACCGAGAATCCAGCACCAGCCCGTGATCGCGAACATGTTCTTGTAAGTAGGCTTTCGCTTCCAGGCGAGCCGAGTAGCGGCTGTTTCCCAGGCTGTGACGACACCAGGATAGCGACGGGCAGGGTCAGTGTAGACATCGGTTCCAGGTCCAGCTGCGCCAACCTCGATGTCCTCGAAGGGGGCAAGCATGTGGGGCATGAGGGCCTCACCCCAGAGGATGTGATCGTCGACGGTGGCGATGATGAGACCTCGAGCAGCGTTGATACCATCTACCAACTGCACGCGCTTGCTCGCCTGCTTGACGGCAAGGAGACTGATCTTCTTTGCCTGATCGGCTGGAAGACGGAACTTCACTTCGTCGATCAGGGCAGAGATGGCGTTCAGTTTGTCCTTAGTGGTCACAAAGATGAGTTCCAGAGGTTTGTTCGAGAGCCAGGAGCGGATGCACATCTCAAAGTTGCCGACCGGTCCGATGGTGCAGACGACAATGCTGACATCATTTGCGCCGTATCTAGAATTCGCAGCAACCCGGTAGGGTTTGTAGGCCTTGCCATGCTTCGTCTGGTACCATAGGTCGACGCGTCCCCAGAGCCTGCGACCGGGTCAGCCTCTCTCCAACATGAGCACGGATCGCAGTCTGGTGGGAGGAGGACTTGGGCACTTCTGGCGTCACGCCACGATTGAAGTCGGGCAAGCATATGGAGGGTCTTTGGAAGAATGGATAGAACATACCAGAAACTGACAAGGAGGGCAATCCCAAGACGAGGGAGGATTGCGATGAACTCCGGCGAGAAGGGAATGAAGTTACAGCCCATGGCAGCGGCTACAGCAACGAGATGAGAACTCATTGCAACGGCAGAGATGTTGAAACGGGTGAGGGGTGCTGATCTTCTATCGGCGAGGGGTGCTGATCTTCTATCGGCGAGGGGTGCTGATCTTCTATCGGCGAGGAACAATCCGCTTCCGGGAATACTAGGAGGAGGAAGGTGGGTGGCAGGTGTTTTCTTGGCGAGAATTAATTTTCGCGAAGAATGTGGGTTGTGAAAGAAGTTGTAACACACTGGTGCGGGTGGTTGTCCAGCTGATGCGCAAGGGGGCACGGGTCACGACGGCAACCAAGGCAATGGGCTCATTTAAAATTATCAACAGCGACAACGGCTGATCCATCCTTGTTTGCGGAGTATGTGGCTGTCGTACAGGCAAACATCAATGATCACATGGATAATGAATAAGTCACAGCCGTAGTTCATGGTCGCACGATCCCTTGTACACTGAACCCTCCTCATCCACCAAGCGGAAGTGTGTTTGTTATAAACCGTATAAGCATGCTGGAATAAGCATCAAAGATGATTTAATGCCCATGAGCTGCTTGTTCCTGTTTGCTTATTCTAGATTTCCGAGTTTTCACGTGTGATCTGGAATTATTCCAACAAACGATAAGCATGGGAGCCGGCTGCTTTCCAACCCCTATCTTCCAACAATAGTGCTTATGGCGGCACTAATCATGAATATTGTAGAAATATGCCAAGTTGTGCCGACGGAAACCATCAAGATGTCTATATCACCCCCTGACGGGCTCACTCTGAAATATGTCAACACCAGAAGGGGTAGATTATGTTGCTACTGTCCCTTTCATCCCTCCTCCATGAAGAGGGTAACCCAGAGTAGAAAGTGAGTCTTAGGTGCACAAGCACAACAAGTTTGTCTCGTCCCTCTTCCCACCAACAGATTCCCTTTGTTTCTGCCTCCACCAGGAAGGCGGTCGGCTTTATAAGTCAGTATCTACGCACCAGAACCTCACCCTATGGTTCTGGTCTTTCTCTTAGCTCCTGACCCGAGACTCCTGTTTCCGAGCAGTAGCCCCAGGCAGCTTTTACTGCCAGCTGCAATACCACTTCGGTCACCACGGCCCATCTTCCCATCGAAGACCTTCCACTCACCACCATCTCTCCCATCAACACCACCCACCACCACCACCTCTCCCATCAACACGAGCTCTCCCATCTCCACCAACTCTCCCGTCACCTCCATCTCTGCATCACCAAGCGTCCCACATCACGACATCATCACAACGGTCAGCTTCCCGCCTCCTCCAAGCTCTTGACACTGCTGACCGATTCGCCCAGCACCAGAAAACAAGTCACGATGCCCAGCAACACCGGCAGCAACCCTGACCCTGCTCGCCAGGCCGGCGCCGCGGCCTTCATCCTACCATTTCTCAATCGCGACACCAATGTCATCGAATGGAAGGCATACGACAGCAACGGCAATGAGGGCTCGGCGGCGTTCATCAAGTACCCCAACGCCGACCCTACCATCCCAGGTGATCTTGGCTTCATGACCATGGCGCAGAAGGAAGCAGCGATCGCCCAAAACGACGCAGCTGAGCGCCAGCGCTGTGCTGAGTGGAACGACGAACTGGCCATCTACCTGGCACGTCGACAGGTCTTCGAGGCACAGCATGGCACGGCGCCGGATGCCAGCGGTCTGAGCGAGGCCGACTTCAAAACTCCAAACCTTCTCCAGCCCTTCTTCGATGCGATGCGCGACAACGCTACCTGAAGGACTGGAGGAGTCGTTAGACTCCTCCGGCCTGAGAGCCGATGCTACGGATCGATAGGGGTACGGTGTTGTGGGTCGGTGAGACAGGATGGTGGACGGGTATCAGCCGCCAAGGCTGATTGTGGCGCAGCCACACATACGAGTTGCGCTTTTGCCATAGACCAGAGTTTTAGCCGAAGCAAGCTTCTACATCACCCAAATCCGTGTCTTTGCAATCGATCATTCAGATGTGGTGTCCATGCTCGTCATTTTAGCCGGTATCTTCGACGGCTATCGGCACGCTCACCGAAAAGGAACCGAAGTCCGAGAGTAAGGAGCAATGACACATAAATTTGCCCTGCCCGTCAGGGATTTGAGCAGTTTGGAAGTAAAGTTCCAGAACGAAGTAAAGGAACGAAACGGCACCCATTCCTCTTCCTGCGTTCAGCCCTGCGATCAGAGCGGTGCGGAGGCTCTTTATCCCAGTCCGGCGCTGAGCCCTATATGGCTAGGCTGGCTAGCTGGCTGGCTCCTGGCTGGCTCCTAGCTGGCTGCGCCCCTTCAAGGCCAGCCAGGCAACCAAAAAGCGCACGTGTTCTATTAAAAGATACAATACAACACAATTCCTAGGTATGTTGTATAATTATATTGTATGCGGGGGTGATAGCCCACGAGCTGCACGAGCTGCATACGCGCTGACGGCGAACCTGTCGTACGCGTACAGGTAAAGCGCAGCCGAGTCTCGAACACCACCGCTCTCGCCCGGTCCGCCCTTTCTATTCTGCCCAGCTCGTCCTTGCATTCCCAGACGACCAGGCAGACTCAGGTGCCCATCATGCTTGGCTTCACTCTCTTTGCGCTCCTCGCCGCCGAGGCCGTGTTCGCAAACACTGTGCGCTCGCGAACCCCCTACAAGCTCAAGGACTCCCACCACGTCCCCAGGCCATGGAAGAGAATCGGTCGAGCTCCCGCCGACCATGTCATCAAACTCCAGATTGGGGTTAAACAAGGAAACTTTCCAGAGCTCGAGAGGCAATTGATGGAAGTCTCCGATCCCGAGAGCTCCAGATACGGCCAGCACCTCTCCGCAGCCAGGGTCAACGAGCTTGTCAAGCCGGCTGACGAGACCCTGGATCTCGTGCACGAGTGGCTTGAAGACAATGGTGTTGTCCCTTCAGAGTACACGCCAGCCAAGGACTGGATTACGATCTCTCTGCCCCTTGAGACCGTCGAGGGTCTTCTGGACACCGAGTACCACCTCTTTGAGCACAAGGATGGCGGTATAGTAGCTCGAGCACCCAAGTGGTCGCTTCCAGAACATCTCCACGGCCGTGTCGACACTATTCAACCAACCAATTCTTTCTTCCGGGCTCGTGCCGAAGCGTTCGACCATATCGTCACCCCGATGGTCCAGCTCGCTTCCAGCTACAAGACACCCACCAACGAGGCCATTGCTGCGGTCTGCAACTACTCATCTGATGCAGCCGTACCGGGTGTGGCACCCGAATGCTTCGAGACACTGTACGGAACGAAAGGCTATAAGACCCGCTCTAATATTAACATGATAGGATTTAACAACTTCTTCGGCGATCACCCTATCCGCAGCGACACTGTCGAATTTCTTGAGAAGTACCAGCCGAGTGCTGTTCACAGCGCCTTCACGTTTCCTCAGATTACCATTGCTGGCGGACCGGGAGACCTCCCTCTGAGCGAAGAAGATCTCGAGAATGCCCAATCGGAGGAAGCCAACTTGGACGTCCAAGCTATCGCCGGTATCACCAAAACTGTACCCATCATCAGCTACTCAACGGGCGGCAGCCCTCCCTTCAACCCTGACGCCAGCACCCCTGACAACTCGAACGAGCCGTACCTGGTGTGGGTGAACTGGTTGCTGTCCCAGAATGGCTCTCTTCCCCAGGTCATAACGACGTCGTATGGAGAAGATGAGCAGACGGTTCCCTACTCTTACGCCCTGCGAGTTTGTCAACAATTCGCACAAGTCGGTGCCCGAGGTACCTCGCTCTTGTTCTCGAGCGGCGACTACGGCGTAGGCCCCGAGGATGAATGCATCAGCAACGACGGAACCAACTCGTCCAAGTTCCTGCCGATGTTCCCCTCTAGCTGCGGATACGTTACCACGGTTGGAGCGACCATGAACTTCGAACCTGAAATCGTAGCGTATCTACCTGCCTTCGTCGACTCCCGAGGTGTAAGCGGCGGTGAATGTATGTACATTTTTGAGTCTCATTATTTCCCCATTTGGCCATGTCCAGGGCGCGAATTCCCTCTTCTAGCCCGTGTCATGCTCCCGAGACATGCACTACGACTCCATTTTACTCCACAAAACATCTAAATGAAGCAATTGCTGACTCTAATTTGCTTGCCGATGCTTCTGGTGGTGGCTTCAGCAACTACTTCCCTATGCCCGACTACCAGAAGAAGGAGGCCACAAGCTACATTGAAAGCCTCGATGGCCTCTACGACGGCCTGTACAACCACACCGGCCGTGGATACCCGGACATCTCGGCCCAGGGTCTCAACTTCGCCTACTTCTGGAACGGCACAGAAGATACTATCAGGTATTTGGGTTTGGCTCTTCGCTTGCGGTTGAAAAGCTTACTAAAAACAAATCACAGTGGCACAAGCGCTAGTACTCCACTGACAGGCGGAATAATCTCCCTGGTCAAGTAAGTCATCCATACTATATACAGACACCTCCTCCTGGGGCCAACGCGTGATCTCAAGTTTCTTTGCGGGACAAGTACTGACACTGTTGCAGTGATGCGTTGCTCTCTTCCGGCAAGCCATCGCTCGGCTTCCTGAACCCCTGGCTCTACTCTAAGGGTTTCAAGGGCCTGACTGACATCGTCTCCGGGTCCGCTGTCGGATGTAATACGGATGGATTCCCTGCAGCGACAGGCTGGGAGTAAGTACTAACTGAACCTCTGTCCCCTTGCATGGTGTCTCGGGAGGTCGAACTTCTGCCGGGGGTGTTTGCACCTGAAATACGAGTTTGAACTCCCGAGAAACAGCCATGTTATCTACAAGAGTAACACTGACAGTTTGATAGCCCGGTCACGGGCTTAGGCACTCCAATTTTCCCTGAGCTGGTCAGCTTGGCTGGTGTTGAGTTGCATTATTGAGCGGTGGTGTTAGCTAGACGGCGTATGATACACGATACGTCGGGGTCGTATATAGACCTCGACAACTCATCATTCAATATTGAAACCACGTCTTGTATGTGTCTGAGTGTATGCAGCAGTCTCCAGGGCGTCTGTCGACCTGCCAGAGGGTCATTCACCCGTGCCTCAGATGCCTATTGGGTACCAAGCCCATGGTGTTTCCCGTTCGGCTGGTTAAGCGATTTGGCCGAGTGTGTCTCATCATAATGATGTCTGACAAAGCAATGCCACTGGACTTGGCGAATCCGTAACCGTGACAGTACTCGAGCTTTTCGGATATGATTTAATGTCGACATAGGGTCGTTGTCGTCGGGTCGGGGTAATCGCTCGTCATGATGCATGAAGTCACAGTACCCCCAAAAGACATATTTCAAACCTACGCGGTGTCTCAAATGGGAAGTCAAGGTCAAGACTGCTTCCGATCTCACGTCCTGAGATTGCTAGGGCAAGACAACAGGCTAGGAGTCATCTAGGAGTCATTTCTCAGTCGGTGGTCGTTTCGATGGCCACAAGGGGGAGCGCAATGTGCTCGCGCATCGGCACCTATGTCATTTACAGCAAGGCATTTGAGCGGCCACCAATCTACCATGGGACGTGCGAATCCTGGGTGCACCATGAATACGTTACGATAGTGCGTAGGACTTGCCAGGACCGATTATTACGCAAGCCCCATCGAAAACTTGAACGACGGTCTCCTACCTACCAACCTGAAGGGCCCGAGATCAGGCTATCTACGTGTAAAAGAGACCACACCGAACTACCAATCTTCCATATTTCCCTAGACTTCCTAATGAAGTGGAGGTTATGGAGGTGCACACCACCAGTTTGTCTCAGCCATTAGCTATCATATTTCCCATCTCTAAGCGGCATATACCTCTCCCACCTCTAAAAGCAAATCCTTTCGCCCCCATGCTGTTGTTGATCATAACTAGGTATTTCGAGATTGCGGTGATTGAAACTAGCATACAACTCGTAGAGTTACGCCGAACCTCCAATAGCCTCCGTACACCCTTTCAATGTTGTTTGGTAAGCGAAGGGTGTGTTTGTTGTAAGTGGAATGATCGTTCTGGAATAAGTACTAAATGGTAATTAATAGATTGGACCTGCTTATTTCAGGGTACTTATTCCATTGATGTGAAGCTAGCATAGAGATCTATAAACAAATAAAGGCATGTCGGACGGAGACTTATAAGAGCTGAGTATAGTTGTTGACGTACTCCATAAGTCCGCGACATTGACATGGCTCCCATTATAAGACCGGAGACAATAGATGTGGTATTAAACAATGGACCACCCCTCTGATCACCTAAGCACCTTAGGGAGTTCCACCATTGTCCCCTGAGGCATCTACTCAAGATTTGGAGTTGCCGCACCTTTCCTTTTCGAACGGCACCCCGATCTCAACACCTTTTCTCTTCTTTCAGGCTTCCACCTTCTCACCCACAACACCTCTACTTCCCCGTCACTCCTACAACTTCTGATCGCCTTAACCCATAACTACAAACATCATACCACCACGACCATACCACCACCATCATTATCATGCCTGGTTCCAACTCCGGCGACGCCAATCCTCCCGCGATGACAACCCCCCTGACCTGCGCAAAAGACGTGCCCGGAGACCACCAGAAGCAGGTTGAAGCAATCTTCCTGCGTGCGGCGAAAGCCATGGGAGTGGACGAAAAGCCTACCGAGGCTGAGAAGGCCAAAGACTGGAAGAAGATCTTTCTCGGTTGGGATACCGACAGCACTCCCCCGCATCCGAAGGAACCCTCACGACCTATCCAAACATTCGGTTACCAGGTTGGCACCTGCTCTGAAGACCTCGAGATCGGAAAGGCCCTGAAGCGAAAACGTGAGGAGTCTGACCAGGGCTTCTCCGATCCTGACCAACCGAGCAAGGATGAAGAGTGTACCGTCCCACCTAGTCGGAAGATCTCGTATGCTTTCGTGAACACGACGTAAGTATGATTTTTTCGAGTCATATGTCATGAGCTGACAGTACACAGGGCGTGGTATTTCGCCCTGACGACTCGGCCCGTCAGAATGGCACGGAGGAACAAGCGGCACGGCCGTCGCGAGACATGAGAAAACCGTAAGTGTATTCCAGGGACAAAATTATTGAGTAAGCTGACGAGTGATAGGGCTTGACGGAGGGTATGTGCTGCGTAATGAGCGGAGGGCTTCGGGCAGAAATCAAGCTTGCAAAACACAGCGGCTGGAAAGGGGGAAAATGGCATAGCCACATGGAATAAGCGGTCATGGTATGGGAAACTCGCCGGTATAACCACCAATTCGTTGTTTATGTCACTGTGAATTCTTGCGTGAAGATCCATTCTTTTTGTTTCTCTATCTTTTATCTCTCGCACTACCACGTAGCATACCCCAACTCACCAACGAAAGACCGGGGGACAAGGGTCCAAGCAGCTAAGTTAAGTACGAGAATGTTAACCCTCGTGGGAGAGCGACTGGGGGACGCCTGATTTTCGAGATGAAACTACCCGAATATATCACATTCCACAATGTAAGAATCATACGGTGTACAAAGTAGAGAAATAACGGCGCTATCCGCGCGGCTTGCTGCCTCATTTCCAGGGTGGCAGATGGACTCCCCCGGGCCAGGGTAAGCTACAGCTACCAATTAGAGACTCCCCTATTGAACATTGCATTCTTCTCATTGTTCACCCCAGGCATCTAATATGGTCCGAGCTCCCAGCAGTACAAAAAGGGTCGTACGCCTTTTCCTCTTTCGTCCTTTCTTCTACCTCTCGCCCGACCTCAACTATTACGAACTCTTTCTTCTACAACTCTTCTCGTCCCTGCCGGTTACCTGGTCTGATAGTAATCGTCACATAAGCCATCTGCACAACTGTCACGATCCTCAACCTCATCCTCATCATCAGCTCACCCACGCCATCATTATGGGAGACGTCAACGTCAAGGCCAAGGCCAACCCTCCTCCGCCTCCGCCCGCGCTTCCTTCCCGAAGATGAGATCAGCTTAGTGCTGGCCACCAGGCCCAGTGCGAGGAATCATGGACGGAGCGCAAAGTATGCTCAGTCAATCTGCCATCGCCAGCAGCCCTGCGAAGAAAACCAAGGACTGGTCCAGAATCTTGCATGGCTGGAACTCCCCCGAGAGAAACTAATGGCATAATCACCTGGAATAAGCCATTATGATAAAGGAAATTCTCTGACGTAATCACTGGGTTGCTGCTTATGCCACTGCGAATCACAGGAAACAAGGTTCTCCAGATGACGTTTCCTCGTGAAGACACCTACCATGCTTTCGGCAATCCAAAAGGCTGCGGGAGGGCTCGACTCCAATCACTGGACGGACAGGGGCGTCAGGATGTGAAGGGATACACAGACCAGCGTGCTGCGTTCCTTCAAATGGCACAAGCTGCAAGGTACCTTCCAGGTCGGTGGGTCTCAACGCTGGCTCTGCGACTACCTTCTTCAATTCGCAACTTCCCCTTTCGCAACAATTCACCACGACTATTATGGACCCGACAGAGAGATGGAGCCAACCTACCACAAGTTGACACTTGAGTTCTCCTCCCTAACAGTCAATGAGAACGGATGTTTCCTTGCGACACTACCCAGTGACTGCGTACGACACACCAACGAACAAGCCAGCCCCTTTTGCCGGCAAGGGATCCCACCAGAATGCAAACTCGTCGTGGCACCCGTAAGGCAGCTGAGTCTGAGCCGAGCCCGTCCGTACTCGCGCCCATAGACGCCCGTGCGCGAACCACCCGATCTGCCACGAGACTGACAGATAGTTCCTTTCCCAATGCCAAGAGAAGCGCCCCCGGCAGTGCTGACCATCCTCTAAAGAAACGGGCGAAGACCAAGACCGACGCGAATCACAACCCCCTTCCGAACCCTGACATCGTCGATCTGGACGACGAATACCAATACCGCCCGACCCTTGATGAGCTTTAAGCCCTAGAAGCCGAGGACGTGGAGGCATACGAGTCCGTGTATAGAGATGTCGAGGACGATACCGACAACGACCAATCCACCACGTTTGCCCTACCCTCTGTCAGGGGGCCGTCTCATGACGGCCTCAGAGGCATAGAAGAATACCCCGTGAACGATCCATTTGCGGAATTTGAACCCTCGGACGATGAACGTATATGCATCGAGCGCTTCCAGCGACTGTTAAGTCAGCTGGTTCGAGCGATACTCTCCGTGTTTCAGACAGTCAAATTCGCCAAGTTTCGCAAGATGCCAAAGGAAGAGAAGCCCATTGCTCCTAGCTTCTTCATGCTATTAGCAAGATGGTCCAGCTCACAACGTATTGAGTTTCTCCTGCGTGCCATCCCTACCAGAGTGCAAGCGATCTTGGGGAAGCCGCACTTGACCTACCAGGACCTCCTGCTCTTGCCGAAACCCTTCGCGAATGAAAGCCGGTTTGGAGTCTACCTACTAGCATCGTCAGGCGCTCGATACGTTGGGTCTGATACTAGTGCAAGGGGTGGTTTGTGGAGGAGACTAAGACGATACGTGACAGCGTGGCTTAGCAAGGTTATGCCCAAAAGTGGTCGCTACGGAGGATACTGGCAATGGCTACTTACAGCCGACCACGACCTCAACATCCGTATTCTATCCCTCCTCGTCAATAAGCCCGAATATGTAGCATACGCCGGGGCAAGATTTGTTGAGAAGAGCAAGTTCTTTTCATCAATCCGCCCCCGATAGATAGCTGTTCTTGAAGGACCAGATGGATGACCCCAAAGTCATACAGCCGCAACAACGGGGATGGGCTCGTGAGCGGGACTGACTGTACTTATTATCTTGATACCTCCACAACTCTGCGATGCAGAGGCTCTGGGAGGCGTGGTTTGCACTACTGAGGAGCGATCCCCACGTTAAATACAATCAATCAATCAATCAATCAATCAATGTAGCATACGCCTTGCTAATCGAGGCAATAATGATGTGCTATCTGGATTACGACCAGACGCAAAAGGTTCGCGCGAGGGTACCAGAGCTACCAGACCAAGATTATGTGTTAGGTTTAAACAGGGCGTGATCTCTCAGCCAGAGATGTCGCACGAGGTTAGATCTACCTAGTCAACCCCATGCATGCGTCGCCAAGCTAGCGTTCAATGGAGTCCATAAGACTAAATCATAATACCTGGTACCAGCACAACAGCACTTAGCAGATACTCTGGCATTGTGCCTATGCCCTAACATTCACCCCTCATAAGTCCCCGTCCGCGTATGTCGGTTTTAATATCAAGATTGTTAGTAAATCGTGGAATGAATGGACTGGTATAAGCGGATGAACGCCGAATAACCACTGGTTATGCTTATTGTAGGGTACTTATGGAAAACTACCCCGACTTAAAACGTTGTGGCTCCTCAACCCATTTTCCAGCCACAATGACGGATGGGTCACGGACCAGGATACAAGGTACCTTGGAGCCCAACGGGTACCCGTTTGTACCAGATTCGTACCCAACTGGGATGATAGCTACTTCTGGGATGGGGACACCACCCATCCCTTCTTTCAATCAAGCAACTTCCAGAATACAGACCAACAGCCACCATTCGTGACCCTGGTCCTTATTCTGGATACCGCTACCACAAGGCACAGCCGCTTGTCAATGAGCAGAGAACTAATCACAATTTGGACAAGAGAAAGTTCCTCCCAGCCTTGATTTGACCCGGCTACTGTTGGGTGGCTGACTACCTAGCCACAGTGGCGTTCAAGGAGGTGGCACTGCCACCGTGGCAGTGCTACTCCAGGGGGGCCCTCAGCCAATTTTGGAGTGCTGTGGCACACACTAACAGATTCTTCACAGAGCACAAAGATACCAGAAATCATCAGAAACACACCTATTCATCCAATTGACGATCATACACGCTGCTTGACGCCTTCTGCCGTTATAGTTTCGCCCCGATGACATCTGCCGGAACCTTCACTCCAACCACTAGTCAAGTGGCCTTGACTTGAAGGATGAGCTTTCCACGTTTGTCACCCTCGAACAGCTTCGTGAAGGTGGACTCCACTAGATTGATTCCCCCCTCCACGATGGTTTCCTCAATCTTGAGTTTCCCTTCCTGCACCCACTTGAACAACTGACGCCTTATATGGGGGAGGTCTTGTACATGATCCTGTATGGCAAAGCCCTCCAGGTGTAGTTGTTTCTTCGCAATCTGATGCACGTTCTTGACCTCCCAATGCTCGTTGAAAGGGAGATTGTACTGGCTGACTTCCCCGCAAACGAGAAACCGACATTGGCTTTTGGCTGCATCAAGCGCTACATCCAGAACCCGCCCGCCCATGTTGTCCCAATAGATGTCGAAGCCGTCCGGGGTTGCAGCCTTGAGGTCTTCTGCAAAGGAGGAAGATCTCCAGTTCACTGCAGCATCGAAACCGAGCTCGCTGCAGAGCCAGGCGCATTTCTCGTCGGAACCTGTGATTCCAACCACGCGAGCACCGTATATCTTGGCAATTTGGCCTACGATGGATCCCGTGGCACCCGAGGCAGCCGAGACAAGCACCGTGTCGCCCGACTTCACCTTCGCTATGGTTGTCAATCCGGTGTAAGCACTAGGTCCAGGTCCATCTGGGAGGGGTTGTCAGCTTGTCTCAAGGCGTTCCGCGTCTTCAGACGTACCACGAGCGGCCATGAGCATATATGTCAGCTTGACATTCTCAGGCATCTCCATCACATCGATGGCGTCGTCCGGAACAATCGACACCTCCGTCCATCCCGAGAAGGTATGAACCAAGTCTCCAGGCTGGACCTTGGTACTCTTGCTGGCCAGCACACGGCTGATTGCGCCTCCTACCACTACAGAGCCAATACTCTATTAGTACAGACAGGTAGGTAGCCATGAGGGAAGAGTGGACTTACTCTTCTGACCGATAGTCATGGGCGCCATATACGACTTGGTATCAAGGACTGAGAAGATATCGTCAACACCTGCTCCATGGTTCTCTTGCGCGTTTCCGACAAACAATGGAGTTGGGAACTCAAAGTCATACCATTGAGCCTAGCTCGCATTGAAGGATCGAGAGAAAGGTATAAGGTTTCGACGAGAGCCTGTCGGTCCTTGAGATCATCCGGAGTGGGTGCGAGCTCTGACCTGGCCTCAAACGTCTTGTGAGGAACTATGTCATGGGCCGGCCTCTCAGCAAGATAGAAGGTGACATTCTGGCGCGACATCTTGTTCGACTTGGTCTTTCTTGGCTCGACAGCCTTGGTCAAGGTGATCAGATTGAGACTAACTCTAGCAAAGGATGACTGGAAGAGTGTGACTGTAGTCTAGTAGTTCGATTCATGGAAGTTGTCGCTCAAGATACGGTTTGATCCGCCTGGCGGGTTGGTTTGCCTGTGGTAGACCGAGTGCAAAGACAGCGGATGAGCCCAGGAGACGATTTCTGCTACCGGCCTGGGGAAACCGTCCCACCCGGAGATTGACGTTGACTCCAAGGGTGCCGCTCAAGCTGGTCCCGAGCACACGGTGTGATGGACACACCCCCCTACACCCCTACCCAACGGATGCGAATGGATGCATCCCGTGCCGGCGGCAGTCCCGACCGGCTGCAAACCGGACCAGCTGCAGCCTGAACCAACTTCCAGCCCGTGGACCAACTGCTTTAGCCAACGGCAGAAACCCCACTGCAGCTACTACATCACCTGCAGATTACCAACTGCCGCTACCACATCATCTGCAGCGTCAGCCATCTGCAGCCTTAACCAACTGCATATGGGTGATGAAACCCCCTCACTGTCGGCCCGGGTCGAGCCATTATCTCCAGGCGTGCATCCAATCATTGTCGTGCCAGCTTGGAGATCTCGATATCATGCCTCAGCCTGCAGGCAGCCATCTCCGCTGCCTTCCGCCGTTGGGAAGGTCGTGTAACCATCTCTTTGCAACCGGGACGGCCAGTCCGTCCGACTCCACTGCCGCCCATAACCTGCAGCTTGTATGCCTCGTATCAGGCTGTAGGTGAGGACGAGGCGTTACGATCGCCTATGGCGCCAGCCTATATGCCACCAAGTGTGACATGTCCTTGCCGGACCCCCAGCCATCTCTATTCTGTGTAGCAGATGGGTCTGAGGAGTCTCGGACGAGGCTGATGAAGTAGTCCACGTGTGGCTTCACCTGGCCTTCCATCCCTTTCACCGCTGCTGGGGTCAATGCGGCGCCATTGACTCGTTGTCTGAAGGCATGGATCTTGTGGTCTGAAGGCATGGATCTTGTGGTCAACCGTGGTGAGGGACATTTCGGACCCGAAAAAGCGTTTGAATGCGCCGTACACATCTGACTTGACTGTGTTGGCGTTGACGCTGTGTAAGTCGCGAGAGGCCTCTGCCGAGTTGATGGATATACGATTTGGTGCAAACCGAAGGTACTGGCCTTGAACACAACATTAGCTTTCTAGACGAGCATTGGTCATTGGTGCAGAGAGCATACCATATCTTTGATGTTGACGGTGCAATTCCAGGTGACGACTACCACTCGATATCCAATAAACGATATACCAGTCCGTACACGCTGCGACGAGAGGCCCAGGGTAGCTTGACAAAGGATGGAAAGCTAGTCTACGGGTAATACCGATGGCCGTCTATCATTCGTGAGCATGCGCTCAAGCGCCCATTGGAAAAGGCAGAAACTTACATACTCAACGATCCCCTCAATCATGAGTCTGATGTACCATGAGATGCTGCGATGTTGCGAGAGTTGTGACAGGATCAGCACTATCATCGCGACGGCTGAGCAGCCAAATACGGCCGCAGCCAGAGGGTGAGCGGGAGCCATGAGAGCGCAAGTAGGGTGTGAGGAGGGAAGGCGACTTGCTGGGGGATAACACTTCACAGCGTCCTTGTAAGACAGTGGGTAGAGAGGGAAGCTGTCTCCTTCCTTTGCGGTTCAATCAAGATGATGATTATGTAACACTGACACACAACAGGCTGTCGCGATTTCTTGAAGTGGTAAGTAAAAGCGACGTCTCGATGTGATCTACTCCAGCGATTCTACCTTGCCGCCCAAGAAAGCACAAAGATATGAGAATCGATAGCCTGGCCTGAACGAGTGCCGGTGCTGGCACAATGCAACCGCGCGTATCTTGACCCTGGTAGCGAGCATCATGTGTTGGTGGCAAGCTCGGTCATGACAACTACCTTGAGAAGAATCACCGACCAATACACACAACCAACAACAATCTCCTCGCGCACTATCGTCATGTAGCATATACCACTAGCTCCGCTTGTTCCTCACCTCCGAGCCACCCTATGAGTTGTACAGGCCACCCATCCTCTTCCATACCGTTGATGTCGGAGAATGGAAAGTGACAATCGATCCGCATGGGTTGAACCACAGCATCCTTGCTGACACTAAAGCAACCATTCCTATGCCATCGAGAGGCGGTGTAGGAACCCCGGGAAATCCCACGATCCTATTGTATGCGTACCATGCACAGTTACTTCCTACCTTGCTGGGGCTTTACGTAGTGAGCCCCAGCGAGGTGTTGGGTGGTGCGCGGCACAGGTAGATATTTCGATCCTGTTGCTCGTCTCTGCCTTATCTCTAAAGTCGCTCACTGCTATCGTGCATTCCCTCCACCGGCTTCAGATGTATCCAAGGTGGCAGAACGATTGACAGTTGCCCTGGTGTCCCGAGAGCGGGGACAGGGCTGACGGATGGGAGCCTTGTTGGTCGACGTGTAGAAACACAGATAAAGCCGGGTATCCCATTCATGCTCTTGCGGTCAGAGAAGTGGCCAATGTAATGTAAATTTGCTGATAAGCTGTGCTCAACTGCCACTACCCTGCCCTCAACCTCACGATGCATGGACTTACGCCCGTCGGTTCAGATGCGGTCGCCGCAACGTCCACTGGCGCGCAGAAAGAAATGAAGCGCGGATATCAGGTAGGTTACGGTGCTTATCGGTCTGCAGGAGGCTCTCACTAAACCCCAGAGTAGCCAGAATCCCGAACTATGTGGTTCCACCTCCAGACCATGTACATCTTTACCAAAGGCGACTTCAAATCTGTAGTCATGCCACAGAGCGTCTTCGCCATCGCTGCAGCGATCGCTAGGTCGGATCTGGGAACGGCGGCAACTGATCATCAGTTCGGCATCAGTCATATTGCCTGGCGGCTTTCACTAATGGTATCCTGGCTCTGGATCCATCTCTTGATCGAAGACATCTCAAACCAGCGTCTACCCGGATCCGTGGTAGAAGACTCGGTCAACAAGTCCTGGCGACCCATGCCGTCGGGACGGCTCACCTTTGGTGAATCACAGCAGATATTGAGGTTCCTTGTGGTATTTGCAGCCATCGCGAGTCTCCTATTGGGCTGCTTCGAGCCCAGTCTACTGATGCTGGTCTTGATCTGGTTGTATAACGATCTTGACGGCGGCAACGCTAGTCCATGGCAACGCAATGTGCTCAACGCCATGGGCCTTTCCTGCTTTGGGTGGGGGGCTTTCACGACACTTACAGCTGACAAGGGTGGTTTGGAGGGGAAGGAATGGTTGCGTGGCTGGGCAGTGTTGATGGCTGTGGTGATCATGACGACGATCCATGCACAGGACTTCCCTGATCTGGCAGGCGATGCGGCGCGGGGAAGAATCACGATACCGTTACGATATGGCGAGGCATGGGCGAGAGGCGCTCTCGCTTCGTTCACTCTCCTGTGGTCAGGCATCTGTCTGACGTATTGGAATGTGGACACAACATTCGTTTGGCTCACGGTCCTAGGCCTGGGGGTGGCAATCGCATTCACCACTTTGTTTCGTCAACAGCGACAGGCCGATGAGGTAGTGTGGAGACTTTGGTGCGTTTGGGTGACATTCTTATACACACTCCCCATGTTCGGTAAAGCGAGTTCCCAGACAGTGTAGCCTACCTCTGAAAGTACCTTATGCCTACACACCTAGCCGATTCACCGCTTAGTGACTTCCGTGTCATCGTTTTCGCCGAGTCTTCTCCGCAGCTTCGAGTTAGCACGCCAGGCTCGAATGTACTTCTAGGTAAATCCACATTCGGGTCATCTAGCCGGCCCAGGAAACATGACATGCCCGTCTGGATATGTGTTGCGAGTGGTGGTTCAGGGGGCTCCCTGCTAGCTGACAAATCTGCTCCACCAGATCGCGGCAGACCATCTGGGAACATCACACTTGTAGGAAGCGGTGTCGTTAACAAACAAATCGTTGACGTCCGAGTGAGACCCCTGTGCCTAGGCGCGCCCAATGCAGGCTGCAGCGCCGAGCGGCCCGGTCCACAGCCAACACCAGCCGCAGCCGTTTGATGAATGCGTTTGATTTCTGCGGCAAACCCAGCCTTGGCTTTGTGGCGAATAGACGACTCGGGTCAGATTGACTTGTGCAACAGGGCGCAGTCAATATGTAACTCGACCAACTGTGATAGTAACAGTGATACGCCCCGACGTAGTAGCGAGCTCATACTATCTTACCAACCGAGACACCCCGGGCCGCCTGCATCCCCGCAAAAGCCGGAAGTGCATTATGTACATGTATGCGTTGGTTCCAGTCATGTACTACTGTATAGACCAATCGGTTCGTTGCATGCCACACTTGTACAGCCCAACGACACCCCTCTCCCCCGTGTATCACTTAAGTTCGATTGGTATCTCCCCCCGTTTCCCCTCAAGCAAGCCTGTCCCCAATACCTCTTCAAGCTCTTCAGTGACATCAAGCGGCTCTGAGTCAATCGTACCAGTGCTCATCACCTATCTCGTTCATTACTCGCCAGCTCACATTGCCCCGAACCAATCAACAACGGCCATGGACCAACATCCCCAGACGTGGCTGATCACTGGCTGCTCCAGCGGCTTTGGTGAGGCTTTCGTGCGGAAACTCCGTGCTGCCGGCGACAATGTTATTGCAACAGGACGCAACGCGGAGATGAAGCTAGCCCACCTCAAGGATACTGGCGCGGCGATTTTCGACCTCGATGTCTCCGCAGCTCCGGATGTCATCAAGGCCAAGATAGACCAAGCTTGGGATCTCTACCCGAATGGCATTGACGTTGTCGTCAATAACGCTGGTTATGTCCTGACTGGCGCGGTTGAAGAGATCTTGTGAGTTCAGTCATTATCAGGCTGAGGGATTATCAACTGACCAAAATGCGACCAGGCCAGAGGAGATGGAGAACATCTTGAAGACCAACCTGATGGGACCATTCAACATCACTCAGGCAATCCTTCCCAAGCTGCGTAGCAAAGGGCAGGGGACCCTCTGCTACGTTGGTTCTCAAGCAGGGTGGCATGGAGATGCCAGTGCCGGAGGGTATTGCACGTCCAAGTTTGCCGTGGAAGGTGAGCTGATTCCCCTATCCGTATCGATGGATCACCGAGTGACGCACGGCTCTGTTAGGAATGGTCGAGTGCCTCTCGAAAGAGCTTGCACTCATCGCACCGGGCATCAAGGTTCTCCTCGTTGAGCCTGGCTATTGCACCACACGGGCTTTCAGCAATATCAACTATGTACCTTCGCGCGTATCAGAGTACGCAGCCTTCAATGCCGGTTCGCGGGCGTACGCAGAGAGCGTTATCGGGAATGAGCCTGGCGACAAGGACGTTGCGGTCGATCGTATGATTGAACTGGTCAAGGGCACGGGTATGGCAGCAGGGAAGACGATCCCCTTGCGGGTGCCATTGGGCAGTGATGGATGGGGTAAGGTCAAGGCCAAGTGCGAGGAGACCCTACAGATCTGCGAGGACTGGCGTGAAGTAGCCGCCAGCATAGATATCCCTCGGTCTACCTAGTGCATCTAGGTACTCGAAGAGGAACATGTCAATCAGCTGGACACAGTATTGGGGCGACCGATGGTCGAGAGAGCACTCCTTAGAAGCAGCCCATGTACTTAATATGCAGAAAACAAAACACAACTCAGTTGCTATCCCTGCATTACTCCGCACTTCCCTTCCATTCCACTGCGCGAAGGACGGTGGGCGGGTACTCTCGCGTACCTTGTGTGCCTTGGTGATCCCTTACAACCGATACAAGATGAGGAAGGAAGTCCTCTTCTCCTCCCAGCCAGTCCGGCAGAGCCCTTGCGTACGGGCCCTGCAGTTCCTTGCGCATGCCCTAGCCCTAGCTGGACCCAGGTGAACCTAGCATTGTTAACTGAGCTTCAATGGCCATTGTCAGGATTGGAATAACGCAGATGTATTCAAGCTATATAGACACTTGTTCCTGCCAGAAGCTCCTCCCTAACCTTCCCAATAACGTCAGTCACAAAGGCACCCTCGTAGAAGCTTCGGTTGAAACACGCAGCGATTCTAAGTTCGCCCTTCCAACTCCAAACATGGAACTGCAATGCCCGGGTAAGAACATCAAGGCCCAGCCATACATCTAGAACCTCTACTTTGCCCTGTCCAGCACCAGTGCCGACCCCATATTCACTCTGTATATACCTCTCAATCTTCCCCAAGCTGCTCAAGTCCGGGGACTGCATGGGAGGTAGACCCGGCGGCAAGAGTGCAGCAAACAGCTCCTGGGTTCTACGGGGGTTCGCCTCAACCAAATCCAGGAGACTGACCATCGCACCACTACCATCCGCCGGGTCCCAAAAGTTGACAAGGTCCTGACCATAGACAGCCTGGAGCTCTCGGGCAACCGTCCTGAAGCTCTTGACTGCCCCTCCGCTGCTCGAAGAGACTACGTCTTCGATACATATAGGCAAGCCAAGGTGGAAGAGACCCATCGGCCCCACGTCGGCATCCATGTCTTGCTCGTAGATGACCCGCCGAAGGTCGGCTGGTCCGAATGCGGCGTATGACTTGGCAAGGGGGTGTTGCGGAAAGTCCGCGGCAACGCGAACAATGGCTGCGTGCACAGCGCTGGTGACGGTGACGCCCATCATGCGGCACCCAGTCACCACCTTCGACGTGGTTGGCACGTCGAATCCCATCGCGACGCGGCTAGTCGCCCCTGGCAGTGTCGTTTCGGAGCCTTCCCTTGTCGGAAGGGCAATACTTGGGAAGCCTCCTGTGTACTTTGCAATGATGTCATCGGCAACAGCAGCGACTTGTGTCGGAATCGCATGTCGCTGACCCTGTGCTCGACCCTCAGTCTGTGGTCTCTGCGCCAAGGACCGAGCCACGGTTTCGACGTGGGATCCTAGAGGGCTTTGGGTCGACTTGGTGATCGCGTAGCTGCTCAATGGTGCGTCAAGACCGAAGTGTAGCACATTGGCCAGCGCGGTCATGAAGCTGTGACCAAGCATGAGCATGCCCACGCCATCGATCCGCCAGTGAGAGGAGCGGATCATAAGCTGTGCCGCCGACGGGATCCAATGGCATGTCGCATGAGCTGTAGGGCGAAGCTCCGAGAACAACTCATCAGCGTCCTTCGAATTGTCATGCGTCGTGAATGTGTTGGACGTCCAGGCGGCAGCCTCTTCATTGTCAGGCTCGATAGTGAGCTCCGGCTCTCCTAGGGGACCCGAGCGAAGAACAGCGGCCAAGGCTGGGTACTGAAGTCTGGTTGCCTGCCACGCCCGTTGAAGATGGAGTTCCGGAGCGGTAACGGACGGTTCGAAAGCAACGTGGAATGCGAGAGAGATGATCCAGTGCTCGCGATTCAGGGGGGCACCGCCATCTGCTATCGCCTTCATGAACCTTTCCAGGCTGCCCATTGGGCGGGCTGGGCTCGTAGAGATCGATGCTGGCAGAGACATGTCATACACCATTCCGTTTTAATCTATGCGAGTTGTAGCAGTGTTGGTACTGTATGATACGATCGTCTCGTGATGAGCGACTGGTCTTGTAGTAGAAGCGATTCATGATTCATCTTATTATTAAGCTCTTCGACCGCGAGGGAAGAGCCAAACCCAAATACCTCAAAAGACAACAAAAAACAGAGCCCCCCTGCTCAGCGATGCTCCCCCCTTGTCGTCGGATGATACGTACTACTTGGACCTGCCGTTCGCACTGTAGGGTATCAGGGAGGGTGGTAATCGGCGTTCCGGATATTGGGGTCCGAAAAAAAAGAGGCCCCTTTTGCTAGGTACACACCATCACACACGTTGGTTGGCCGATCGGTGGGCGGACCCGGGACCGGTTGGCCTCCTTGGATGGGAGTATGGTTCGATATTATGCAGTTAATCACAGCCTGCCTGTGCTGTGTCCTGTACATGCATAGATCCATTCCTGCAGGACTGCCCCCCCTGGTTTTCAGATGACCGCTCGGCGGTACCTGTTGAAGGATTGCATTGTTGTTGGCCCGTAACGTGCACCGTTTCAGTGGTATCCTTGGGTAGCAACTGAACAACAACTTGCACGAGGAAGTACCAACTGCAGTTTCTCTCGGAGTCGTGGCCAAGGTCTGTCGTTGGCGCTGCGGCTCGTCATGGGCGGCACGCAAGAACCTGCCCTACATGTGAGTACTTCATAGCTTGGAATGTAATATGAGCCATTGTTGGCCTGCTCGCCTCTGCTATCGAGCGCTAATGGCATCACCCTTCTTCAATAGGTCGTTTACTCTTCATCTAAACCTTGAGCAAGCCCACCCCGCAATCTGCTGGTTTTGTTCAAGTTGTGCAGCACGATCAAGCCCACAATGCCGCCAAGACCACCCACCGAAGAGGAGATCGTGGCTGAAGCCTCAGTCAATGATGCACTTCAGTGCACCTCAGATCACGAGACATTACGAATAGTCATTCCAATTCAGAGAGATCGGGACCGAGTTCCCAAGGCCAATCATTGGATAGTACCGGACGACAAACTACAAGAGCTGGCAGACAATGTCCAAACCAGGATTCATGAACTCCCCCAGCTAGGTGTATCCCCTGGCCAGGTGGAGATTTACACAAAGCTTGATCAACATGATTCAAGGCTGTATCAGGACAGTGGGCAAGAAGCCCGGTCAATCTAGGCCCACTGCTTGGTGGAATGATGACTGCAAAGCAGCTGCTCAGACATACAGGGCCCTTTCTAAACAGACCACAAGCCAAGAAGGGCGAAATTCAGCCCGACGGGAATTTCGCTGTGTGGTCCGAAAAGCTGAGAGAGAGTACTGGCAGACTCTAATTGATTCAGCGACTGAACCAAAAGACCTGTACAGAATTGTTTCCTGGCACAAGCTGTCAGCAGGATTACGTTCCCCACCAATCATTATTGGGGACCAAATCTATGAGTCACAAGAGAGCAAAGCAAATGCACTACGCTTAGCCACGCTTGAACGAAGCACCCCAGACAACGATATCACCGACCCCTGGTCTGTTCAGATCACACAAGCCAAGCCACACATCCCCTTCGAATACCATGTCGGACTAGAAGAGGCTGAAGGGTGCACTATAAGGACCAAGAGCAACTCCCCGGGAGTAGACACCCTCACAGTACGGATTCTGAAAGCTTGCTGGCCAGTCATTGGGGAGCATATCAGAGCCCTTTTCCAGACCTGTCTACAGATTGGACACCACCCTAAACCATTCAAAGTAGCTGAGGTGGTGATGATCCCAAAGCCAGACAAGAAAGACTACTCCAACCCCAGGGCCTACAGACCAATATCGCTATTATCATGTCTTGGCAAAGGCCTAGACGACTCATCGCAAAAAGAATTACCTGGTTTGTTGTTAAACTTGGAATTCTAGCTCCACAAGATTTTGGAGCTCTACCAAAGTGCTCTGCCACTGACCTGGTAGCTGCACTCATACACGATATTGAGCAGGCCCTCGACTAAGGCCTCGTTACAACGATAGTCACGTCAGATGTGAAAGGGGCCTTTGACGCTGTCCTAATGGGACGGCTGGTGGTTCGCATAAGAGAACAGGGCCGGCCAGGCTTTCTTATAAGATGGGTCCAGTCATTCATGTCCGAGCGGTCCGCAAGGGTTTGGTTTGAAGGTATTGTGACTGATATTAAAGCTCTCACTTGTGGGCTACTACAAGGCTCACCAGCCTCTCCAATCCTTTATATGCTGTATACAGAGCTAATCTGTGCCCGACTTGGTATAAAAAAGAGACGTTTTGGATATACAGACGACCTAGCAACTCTCTGTATTGGAAAGAACCTTAAAGAAATAGCTACAGAGGCTTCTGAAAATCTTTATTTGCTCAGTCAATAGGGACATAACAACGCTATTGAATTTGACCCTGACAAAATTGAGATCATGCACTTCTTAAGGAAAAAGAACTCAGACAATCCTCCAGTCCGCCACAGGACAATGAACAAAACAGCAAAGGACTCCATGCGATGGCTAGGTGTCTTCCTGGATAGAAAACTAAATTTCAAAGATCACGTTTCCTACTGGGCCAAGAAAGTTAATAAGGTAGCAAATCACTTTCGAGGACTATGCAACACAGTCAAAGGACTTCCAGTAAAGTCAACCAAGAGGGCTGTGAAAGCTTGTGTTATTCCTATTCTTACACACGGCCTGGAGGCCTGGTACCCAGGAATCGAGAAAGTAGGGAGCTTATGTGGGACATTAGCATGTCTCATTAAAGGGCTTCTTGGAACGATAGATGCCGTACTACGAACAGCGATCAGGGCTATCTTGCCAGTCTGGAAAACACACCCTGGACATATCCTACACTTTGAATCGCAGATTCCCCTAGCAGGAGTTCTTGCAGAGTCAATAAGACGACGTCACGGCCTCCGACTAGGACGAATAGACCAGAGATACCCTCTTGTTGGCAGGCTCTAAATACAAGCTCGCAAGAATCCAACAAGGCTACAAAGGAGCTTCCAGCTAGTCCCTGACTTCCAGAGACCAATACTTACCAGGCCATCATGGAAGAAGCCCCCAATCCGCAAAGACAAAGACAAAAAAACAGAGCTCTTCAAGCAATAGCTACAAGAGAGAAACGTGAACACTGACCTTGTCATCTATTCAGATGGATCACAGTTAGACGACCAAGGCACAACCCGCACTGGATGGGGTTATACCACCAGGAAAGGCGGCACTACACAAGAAGTATACCAGGGAAAGGGCAGACTTCTCTAAGCAGAAGTAGTAGATACTGAAGTCCATGGTGCTCTCCAAGGGCTTGCAGCAGCCAGGGTAATTGGATACGGAAAATAGCTATATGTCTGCCTGGACAACACGTCAGTGGTAGACGGGCTCAATGGGACTCCACCCGAGACATCACAGAACATTTTTCTAAGATTTCAAGAACTTGCCACAGCACACACTCCTGGAGTGACCGTCAAGTGGATTCCTGGACACAGAGATATTGATGGTAATGAGGCTGCTGACACACTAATAAAAGAGGATGCTATGCTAGAAACAGACACAACAAACCTTCCTATAATCTCTTGGGTCAAGAGAGATCCCAAAAAAAAGGGCAACAAAGAGTTCAACCAATGGTGAAAAGACCAATCAGAACCCAGATATCAAGAAATATACTCACATACAGTAACTAAAAAAGACCTCATATATTTTGAAAAGAGCATTCTACATAGACTTCTAGCGGCCAGATCTGAACATGGCGACTTTGCTAGATACCATGAACGTTTTGGGCACACAGACTCAAATAATCACTGCAGCTACGGTAAAAAGAAAACACCACAACACATTTTCTTTTGTAAGAGACTTGGGAAAAACTGACTGCTGCCCAGGTACTCGCCTAGGACAGGCTGTTTACAATACTTGGGGGAGAGGAGCACGGAATGGGCAAGATTCATTGAGAAGAGCAAGTTCTTTTCATCAATCTGTCCCCAATAGATAGCTGTTCTTGAAAGACCAGATGGATGACTCCAGAGTCATACCACTACAACAACGGGGATGGGCTCGTGAGCGGGACTGACTGTACTTATTATCTTGATACCTCCACAACTCTGCGATGCAGAGGCTCTGGGAGGCGTGGTTTGCACTACTGAGGAGCGATCCCCCACGTTAAATACAATCAATCAATCTTTCGTTGGCAAACTTCAGGTTCTACGGCGACCCTGTCCTAGCAACCCGCCATGCCGCCGATGGATCCAGGGTCTCAATCCGCGAGTTTGCCCTCATCTGCCTAGGATTAACATTCGACGGATGGCAAGGCCAGCACTTCGATGCCATGTACCACCAGGAGGTTGGGGCCAGGTTCATTGTGGCGCTGTGGGGAGCCCTCAGACATGGAGGATCAACCCATGCTTTGAAACTCATCGCCGCGCCGAGCACATGGCTCCGCCTCCTGGTAGAGGCTTCCAAAGAGCTACTCGAGGGTGATGAGTACAGCAAGAGAAGAGCACGCAGTCTTGCGTCTCTCGGAGTGCGCCGTGGACACCCATTCTTGCATGAAGAATCTCACTCACCGTTCCTCGGGTTGACGGATGCACATACACTGGCCAAATTAGTGCTTGACCCTGGTGAAGGCCTGCGCACTCTTAGCCAGATGCTCCAAGTGGAAAAGAAGTTCGGGGAAGCTGTCATCGTTTGCCGCAGTCCGGAAGGGGGCCCCGAGTGGCTTGCAACCGCGGCTCCCTTGGCAGCGAGGACTGGTACTAAAAGAGACCACGAGGGCGCAGAGCGCTTGTGTGGACATCACATGCAATGGCTTTGCATAGACAGCCTTAAAGAGGGGTTGGTGCAAACATGAACCAAAAGGCCGAAGCAGAAGCAAAGGGATGGCGAACGTTCGCCAGATCAGAGCTTCTATTTTACAAAAACAATTTGCGTATCGGGTGGGATGGTTCGGAACCGCAGGAACCGGATTCCCCATCTGCGACGTCTCTCGCCCGCCAGCCGACCATTACGGATTTCGATATCCAGGATGTGCTGGAATGGGAACAATCTGTCACTCAATATGACAAGTGGCTTGAACAAGACAAGACGGAACTGTACGACTACATGTGTGGGGATCTGAACGGCACGGCCGTCTATGTCACGCCGAAAGAGAAAGCCATCAAGGATATCGGAGATCATTCCAGGACCACTGTTATCCCACCACAAGATCTGATCACCCTGCTCGAATTGCCACGGCTTGATGGAGAAAAGATGGTTCGACATCTCTCGGGCTTCATGAAGGATTCACCTCCACCGCAACATGGAAATACTACCGATGCCAAGAACCTCAACTCACTTGGGCTCTCCATGCAGCTGCTCTGCACAGCTTCGAAGGTTTACTCGTTGTTACCTGGGGCGACTATATCTCTTATGATTCTCAACGAAATCTTCCATGTCTCGCCGTTGGCCCGAGCCGGCACTCGTGCCATTAATCACCCGCTCTTAGGTCCGTTCCAGCCTGTGGAGTGGACCCTTGCCGAGACACTCTCTTTCATCGCATGGGCTGAAACTGGGGGCCTCCTCCTAAAGCCCAGGGATTTGAAACAGGTTCTCGCTCTGTCCACCGGAAATTCTATTTACGCTGCTGCTTCTCTGTTCGCCGATCCATACGATGTGTGCCAGGGCTACGAGTTGCGTCGGATTGTGGGGAATGTCGGGAGGGCTGGTGTTTCCATGCTGGTACCCCCAATTAACCCTAAGCTACAGAACCCCAGGGCGGATACTTGGAACGTGATCAACCACGAGGCATTCACGGGGAAAACCCAGTGCCTAAATAACTTTGAGAACACTAGCCTCCATCTCTCTTTCACGGGCTATGAGCAGCCCGTCCCGGGCGGCGTTGTCAATGGTTCAAGGGACGTCGGCGCATGCTACCTTGAGACCGTCATTTCGGTCTTCGATCGGGGCAGAAAAGTCGGCGACCTAGACATTCTCAAGGGCATAGATGACTCTATGTTTTCAAGGCTATCCACATGCACACACACGTCCAATTGGAGCATTGATTGCGACAGCATGAGCTTGCAATGGACGTGTATTGACTCATGGGAAGAGATGCTGGATATGCCCGACAACCGTACGTGCATTGTACGGGCTCACAAAAACGCCCTCTCGCGCATCGCCGCCGCCGTTGTGTGCGTACAGCAAGGTGAACGTAGATTCATCGTGCTGCCGCCGAAACCCTGCTACGCGTGTGTCGTGGAAAAGCTTGGTCATGGAGGCTGGGGGGAGGGGCAGAACACAGTGTTGATATGCTGAGAAGTTATTATACGTGGATTGGACTTCCAGGGAATCAGGGATCGGCCAGAACAACCAGCTGAACATCTTCTTTTCTTTGACTACAACTAAGAGCTAGGCTTTCTTAGGATTTACCGTAACGCTATGCATAGGCACCGGCCCCTAAGTTATATAACCATTTACCATACATGTCGTGTTTTCAGTGTATAAGTTACACCTAGAAAACAAGAACTACCGAGGAAACGAGAAGACAGCTTGGGCACTCGACGCATCAACTACATCAACGACAGAAGAAGTCGAATCTTCCCGCAATAACTAGTCATCTGGCTCCTTTATTCAGGGTTGCACTAACTCAATGTACAGAAATGTTATCCTGAAATGAGTTCGATGGAAGCGCGAAAACCGTCGCGGTCGTCAACCAGACCAACAAGATAGTTGATATGAGACCCAAAGGACGTGACATACTTGTGTCAACCTATATCGACCACAATCATGACACTTTGACTCCGTCATCCCGATCAGATTTCCCCATCATGGGCAAGGGTGGTGATAACTCAGCCCATCCTTCTGAGTATCGCAGAGGCTACGCGTGTCAAACAAAAATAAGGCTCTGGCAGCGTGACAGTGTATTCCATTCAAAAGGGACCATATACGGTTAAAACCTGGTCTTCCAGCCTTCCACGAATGGAGAACCCCTTATACACCTTCTACCCTGCATCGGCTATAGCTCCTTATCACCGTATTCGAAGACCCCTGATAGCGCGCTACAGCTTCACAGGACGCCCTCGCATACCCAACAGCGGCATCACACGTCGATCGAGAGGCGCCTTGCACGACATAATGCACTCGTCAGGTTCGCGTCTACCGTGAAGGCCCGCCAACCTCTCGGTAGGCCTCGGCAGTGACTCTGCTCAAATGGTACCTCGTGTCTCAATACACGCTGTTGCCAGCAGCACCGGTCAGCATGTTGACCGGCGCGATTCACATACCATAGTATCACGAAAAGTAAAATCCCATTTTCAATCAACTTGGTGTCTAGCTTCCCCTGTCTACTTGTGCGTTTTCTTGTAAGCCACCTACGGTAAAGTGGCCAGGTGAGCCGGTGCTAACGTAGCAACATTCATCGAGAAATGGTCGCCGATAGACTTTCTCACAACTGTGCTCCAAGGTACATCGATAACATGTGGATTGCAAGAAACCCCCAAGATTGCTGCGTGTTCCCGTCTCCTGGGGAGTAATCATCACCGTCGATTGCACCGTTATCTCTCTGGAGGCCTCATACTCCTCCAACGATGACGACTCCCTTGACTCATTCGTATTGCCAGCATCCATAGTCAGAATCGCTGCCGATAAGGGACAAGCCGATGGCGTCGATGCAGTCAGTCAGATTGAAGCGCTCGGTCTTCGCGTACAAGGCGTAGCTTGCGCCGGTGTCGTTCAAATAGTCCGGAATGTCTGGGCAAAGCGAGAGGCCGCCAAAGTTGGAACCGTCGTTGGCGAGGAAATTGAGAACATCAACCTGCGTCTCGGGGCCGCAGTCGTTCACGATTGTCTGATTGAACCATCCGCCGATGAAAGCGCCATTGGGGATGTAGGCGGAGTGGGCGACGGTGTACTTGACCAGCCCAGTGGAGTCAACGTAGATCTCCTGGCCGCCGGGGACCTCGACCTGATAGCTTGTTAGCAAACAACGTGGTCATATTGGTAGTGAATGGTGGGCAACAGTAAAGACAACTTTAGCGAGTCTTGAACGGGTGGAGGACACAAACACATACCGCCATGCCGGTCATCCCGTCATAGACCAGTGTTCCGTGGACCTCGGGACATTTCCCAATGTTCTCCGGGCAGTAGGTGGCTGGGCCCGAAATGCCGGTGTAGAAGCCCGAGCCGGCAGCTTGCAAATTCGCTCCGTCGATAACGGTGCCGGGGGCGAATGTTGCGATGGAATAGGCTGTGGCCGAGGCGAGGCCCGGGAGGGTCAGAGCTGCGAGGAAGTGCATGTTTGCTCGGTCCAAGGTGAACCACCGATGGTCAATGAATGCAAGGCACACGGGGGCGTTATGTTGCTGGGTGCAGTGCTTGAATCAGTGGGGAGCTCTGATATTAGATTATAACTTCAATGATGGGATGGCGGTATGGAGGAGTGATTCAATTGGTTCTGGTGGGATGCGAAACGAGTGACTGGTGGACGAGTACGCGGGTGCCGTTGTTGTAGCTGGGGAGAAGACGGGGAGGGCAGGCAAACATGGACTGATTGAGAGGAGGGGAGGTTCAATGTTGATACCCGAGTGCCTCCTGCCTCCTGCCTTGTGCGGGTGTTGCTCCTTCCAGAGACACACATACCGCGCCTTCTCACTTCGCCAGCGGATGCCTTCGTCCCCTTATCGCTCAAGACTTGTGTTGAACTTGGGAAGAAGGCGCGACGAGAGCGCTTGCAAGACCTGGAGGCATCTGGCCCTGTTTATACATCAAGAGGAAGTGACACCCTCTTCGGGGTCATCGTGCAATCAGCCATACCTTACACGTCCAGTTGTACCTTCTTCCCTTGTTCGTGTATATAGAAAGGTACCTACATCCCAAGTTGGGAGACTTGATCCCATCTGTAAGTTACCTCCTACCTGGTAGGCATCTTCGATCGTGCCTTGTGTGTGACAGAGCACCCTCAACAGTACCGTGAGATCAATGATCTTGAGCAGCCCAAGTTCAGCCACCCAACACTTTGACCTTGGTGCAGCACACTCCATCTGCTACAATTGGGCCGCACCATTGTCTCGTTGGACGACCATACGAGCCCCTCAGCACTTCACCAACGGCCATCGCCTAGATACGGACCCTATGTCAGAAGCCCAGGAATCCTTGCTTCAACATTCGAAGTCCCATGATTGGCAGCTTGCCAACATGGAGCCACACACTGGTACAGACCTTCTGTCTTTGCAGTACTGCTTGCCCTTCCTCCTTCCCTTTCGCTGAGGGGGGTGCGTACGGTCGTCCCCGACGGTCACCTGCGAGCTAGTAGCCATCGTCATCACTGCAACTAGTAGGAAACAGCGAAGCGAGTCCACCGACTGAAGGCCCCTTGTAGACGAACCCGGGCCTTTTGCGAATCAAACTTCTTATTGTGCCACGCTGTTATGCTGCTCCTTGGGCAGTGAACGAGGCAAAGCCTCCTTCCACATTCAGAGTGTTCTGTACCGCTCCAGAATTCCCGCCTACCAAGTGCCTTGTCGTCATCTCTACCAGCATCGTTTAGGTGGAAGACCCAAGCTCTGATGCCGCGTGAGCTATCACATGTCGCCGAGCTGGCCATCTTCTGTTGTCTGCCTGGCCAGCCAAGTCGTCCGTGAGGTTGTTGGCGTTGGTGCCGAGTTGGCTACTCTGGTTCATCCTCGGATAGGAAGCTGTCGTACGGAAAAGGACCAGAATGTGAAAATTTTGGTACGACCAACATGAAGTCCAAAGAAGGTTTGTGGAGATTCATCCAATTGGAGGATGATCTGCCCAAACATAGGCCGCTGTTGGAAGGCTCGTACGATGCATCTCAGCCAGGCCTCCTAAACCACCACGGTGGCTGGACTGCGGCGCTGCCATGTTTTCCCTCCAATTGATATAAGAGTTGTTTATGCAGCTTAACTGCGTTTCCATTCGGCTCGCTCCGAGTGCTCCCATTAGCTGCTCCTACCCACCAATGCAAAACTCAGCGGCGACAAGTGCGGAGTGCATGTGCTGGACCAGGAACGCAACTCTTGGCATCTCGAGTTCAATATGCCAGGCTGGAGATCAGAATTCCTCCCCCAAGGAACGATCATATCACTGCATGCGACTCCAAATGTGATGGCGAGCCCGAATATCAGAGGTCGATGCCTATTCGAGGATATTCTTCCATGGACTTTCCAGACGTGTGAGCGTGTGCTCGACTCCTCATCCAGGGGTAGCTTGTGGGTGATCTGCATATCGGCTCAGATGGATCCAACACGGCTTAATCGGGATCTTCGACTGTAGGAGGTAGATTTAAAGGTCAATATACCCAGGTTGAATAACAACTTCCTGCTTCAAGCCACATCAGATATCAACATCCGCAGCCTGCCATCGCTCAATTCACACGCCATAGATTTGCCCATGATGAAGTTCCTTACGGCTGTCGCCTCACTGGCTGTCTCAGTTGTCGCTGTCCCAACCCCCACCGAGGATGGCCCTCTTGATGCCCGAACGATCCAGAAGAGAGCGACCATCACAGATGCCTGCAATATCGGCTACTGCACACAGAATGGCGGGTATGTCCCAGATGCCAGCTCCAGCCTATGTATACCATACGGATACCATACTGATTTCTCAACAGAACGATTGGTGGTGCTGGGGGGACGACGACCACCGTCTCAGATCTCGCTGCTTTCACAGCTGCCGCACAATCCGACGACGCCACAGTCGTCGTCGTAAAAGGTGCCATCACTGGTGCGGCCAAGGTCCGAGTCACCTCGAACAAGTCCATCATCGGTCTTGCCGGCTCCAGTATGACATCCAGCCCCAGAGACTACCCGGCTGACGCCCTGCTAACACCATGAAGGCATCACCGGTGTCGGTCTCACCGTCAATGAGAGGTCGAACGTTATCCTCCGCAACCTGAAGATCTCAGAAGTCCTTGCCGAGTACGGTGATGCTATCACCATCCAAGCCTCCACCAACGTCTGGGTGGACCATTGCGATCTGTCAAGCAACCTGGACCATGACAAGGACTACTACGACGGCCTCTGCGATGTGACCCACGCGGCGGACTGGGTCACCATTTCCAACACCTACTTCCATGACCACGTAAGCCCCCACACATCCAACCCTTCAGACATTGACAATAAAAACTGACAAGTCGTGACCGCAGTGGAAGGCATCCCTAGTCGGCCACTCAGACAGCAACGCCGACGAGGACACGGGCCACCTGATCGTGACGTTCGCCAACAACCACTGGTACAACATCAACAGCCGCGGGCCGTCGTACCGGTTCGGCACCGGCCACATCTACAACTCGTACTACGACGGCATGATCGACAGCGGCATCAACACGCGCATGGGCGCCCAGCTCCTGGTCGAGAGCAGCGTCTTCGAGGACTCGGCCACCAAGGCCATCTTCAGCGACGACAGCGACGAGACCGGCTACGCCGTGATCGACGACGTCGACCTTGGCGGCAGCACGAACACGGCGCCCGCGGGTACCCTGACCTCGGTGCCGTACAGCTACACGCTGCTGGGCTCGGGCAGCGTCAAGAGCTCGGTTGTCGCCAGTGCTGGGCAGACGCTGACCTTCTAAGGAAACAGCATCTAAGCAGCATCTTCAAGTGTAAGGGAAGGTGGAAAGGGAATGTATTGGAATGTTTCCTCGATGAGATGGGTGAAGCTCAAGTGAGAGTGAGATTGGATAACCAAGGTGGACATATTTCACCCGACTTGACGATTAGTCATAACGTTCATGTATACAGCTTCAATATCGCGAGGAATTGCACATATTTTATCCCCTGACACTAAAGAGATCGGGGTCTTACTTCAGTCGGAAACCGCGATCTGCCTGCATGTATGCATGCAGCCATCTCCAACGTCATGTGCCAAGCAAGGTAGATAGAATGCATCCTTGCTCGGTCAGAAGACGGCTCACTAAATAGAAGCATTGGCCGCCGTGTGTCACGAAACTGCGAAGGCACGAAACGGCGAAGGAGGGCGAGTGTAACGGCGATAAGGCAGGTGAGATTCCCCCATAGTGGACCCAGCTGACTACCGGTAGCGCCCCCCTTTACGTCAGTCGGTCTGTCATTCGTCCCGCCGGCCAGTGGCTCCCTCACCTCATCTGATCCTCAGGAAATATCTCAGTGCTGCGAAGCAACCCAATATAAGACCTCTGTCATGTGAAGAATCGATAAGACTGGGTGTCCCAAGCTTCAACATGCACGATTGGTGCCGGTGCCTGGACATCTGTCATCGGGTCATCGGGACTTGGAAGCTGGGGGGTTATTGCCCGCGCCCGCCCCCTGACAAGCTAGCGCCCGTCACACCCGTGGACGACAAACATAGCGCCCGATCAACTCTCGGGTAGTGGGGGTTTACAGGGTTGCGATCAGGATTACAGTGTGTACGTAAGCCAAGCCCTGGCCCCTGACCTTTACTTGCATCTGCATTGCAGCGAACGGGGAATGGTCTCCGCGTCATCTGGTTTCCGCTGTTATCGCTTTTTATAGACGACCATTCCAGAGATGAGCTGCTTCCAGGAAGTCCCGGGACCATGCACGCAGGTGTCTAGGAGGCTGGCATCGCCTGCCTCGGTTTGAAGATATCCAAGGCAAGTCTCAACGGCGAACGTGGCACATCCAACAGCCAGGCACGTTCGCATTGGGCGTATCCCGAGACAAACATGACTCAACACCAGACCCGTCATCCTCGCAAGGTTGCGGCTGCCCGCTTGACAGGTCATGCACATCCTCCAGCGAGGCTGCCAGACAACGGTAATCTGTCACATGTATCAATCACCACACGACACTACTCACGATCGCAATGTGTCGCCTACAGCCAATACCGGTAGAACAAGCCTAACCATGCGAGCCATCATCCACAGTCGGAGTCCATGCTGCTTTGGTCATGGTCCGCCTACTTGCCGGGCATATATTCCCCGCGGCGAGGGGCGTTGATGTCGTGGATCCTCGAAACGGATTCCTGGGCTGAGGTCATGCACGTACCCGAACAGCATCTACACCTGCATGTTGGCAGGTAAAGATCGGAAAGCCCGAGCAATCTTCATGCGCCTGTGCCGTATCGACCAACCAACAACTTCCCACCAGCAAATCCACCTAATCCGTCCGCACGGGGTGAAACAATGCCGCAACATCAGCAGGCATCCTTATCTCCAGTGACGCAGCTGCCTCATGCCAAGCTCCAGCTCCAGCTCAAGCAAACCGGGAACAAAGAGCACGAGGTTGTATCGAAATCCAAGGCGGCCTCCCTCCCACTCGTCCCATGACCTATGGTAGGCGGCAGGTAGGTATCTAGTTTCATCATCACCTGCGCATGCTGAGGCAGTCTGTTCTACATTTCAAGTGAAGTCCAAGTACATATGAAGAGTGTTGGAAGCTGCCACCCGCTTGTGATTATTCGACTCTGACCGCATCACTGTACCATCCGAACACTCGTCTCGATTCTTACTCGTGTATCTCATCACCTATAATACATGTCCGCCCCTAGTAGTCTTACCAAGCAGATCAGTCTTCTTCGTCCAGCTTTCAAAAACATATCCAAGATGGCAACCCGCAACCACCACGTCTGCTTCGTCGTCCCCCCTTACCTGCTCAGCGCCATCAGCGACAGCGAGCACAATGACGCCCCTACCCGCGAGTCTGCTCGCCATGCCCTCGACCACCACAAGAAGTACACGGGCAAGCGCACGAAGCGCTTCGCCGAGCTCACCCTGCCTCGAGGCGCCCGAGGCGCGGCCGCTGCCCATCCTCGTCAGAACATCGTCCCCAACCACATGCTGAAGCATATTGCCGAGTCCGAGGACGTCGACGAGAACACCCGTGCATGCGCCAAGCGAGACCTCGAGCACATCCAGAAAGTCAACGCCAAATACGTAACGTCACAGGGCCTCAAGCGCGACACTTCAGACCAGAAGACGCTGGCGGCGACAGAGGAGGCACCCTCTCATACGGTGCAGACCTACCGTGCCGTGTATGATGCCAAGAACGACCAAGACGAGGCCGACCTGCCCGGCACGGTCGTTCGCGTCGAGGGGCAAAAGGCCAGCAAGGACGAGGCCGTCAACGAGGCCTACGACAATGCAGGCAAGGTGCTCAGCTTCTACGCCGACATCTTCAACTGGAAGTCGATCGACAACAAGAACGCGCACGTCATCAGCTCGGTGCACTTCGGCGAGAAATACGAGAACGCCTTCTGGGACCCCGAGATCGCCCAGATGGTGTACGGGGACGGATCCACCTTCCTGACCAACTTCACGGGCGCTGTCGATGTCATCGGGCACGAACTCACTGTAAGTTGGACCACTCCTTATCAGCCCCGAGGGGCTGAGCCCATGGACCGTACTGACTTCTCCAAGCACGCTGTCACGGAATACACCTCGCCTCTTGACTACACCGGCCAGAGCGGTGCCCTCAACGAGCACGTCTCGGATGTCTTTGGCATCATGGTCAAGCAGCGCGTACAGAACGAGACTGCCGACAAGGCCGACTGGCTGATTGGCGAAGACTGTCTTGCGCCCGGCGTGAAGGGGGTTGCTCTCCGCAGCATGAAGGCGCCTGGGACTGCCTACGACGACCCTCGTTTCGTAAGTTCCCACATGACAGCTCGGCATCAAAACCATCTTCCTAACGACGAGTGCAGGGCAAGGATCCCCAGCCGGACAACTTCTCAAAGTTTGAGAGCAATTACGACGACGATAACGGCGGTGTCCACCTATACTCAGGTATTCCCAACAAAGCTTTCTACCTCGCCTCGGTCGCGTTTGGTGGTTACTCGTATGTACCCAGTTGAGCCCCTGTTGGTTTCACCTGTCTGAGCAAGGGATGCTGACACCACGCACAGCTGGGAGAAAGCCGGCAAGATCTGGTGGGAGACGATGAACAGCGGCCAGGTGGCGGCCAAGGTGACCTTTATCCAGTTTGCCGATGTGACGGTCGACAAGGCGGAGGAGCTCTTCGGCGCAGACGCCGGCACCATCGTGCGCGAGGCCTGGACCGACGTCGGCGTTGTGCGCAAGTCCAGCACCTAGAAAGAGACGACTGCGGCGGAGCAGCGCGGCCGGGCTGGGTACCGGGAGCGTAGCCGAGACAGCAGTGCGGCCCGGGAGAGTGAGCGGGGTCGCAGCCGAGATAGCACGGCCCGGGAGCTCAAGCGCTGGGGCGAGAACTTGCTCGCTCCCGCGATGGGGGTCTTCCGCGGCAAGTCGCGCAGGAGACGGTCCTCGATACATGTCTGTCAGGGGATTGCGGGGTTGGAGGAACATTCCCGGCATGTAGAAGATCATAGTCGTGGTAGGCGCCCAGAAGAGAGCCCTCAAGGAGTTCGGTCGCACTGGGGCCGTGATGGGGGTTTCGTCCTGATGTGAGGGAAGCTTAAACACATTGGCGTACATAAGCATGGCGGGCTGGTGCTGGTCTTGGATACCTAGAACACATACCTAGCTCGGATACATGCAGCGTAATACCTATGAGATGATCTTGCTCGTGACCCCGGGACTATTATGTTCAGCTTGACCGTCTTTGCGGATTGATCCAATGCTCTCTCTGCAAGGTACTCTCTGCCAGACTTGATGATGACATGACTCCGAGGTAGACTTAATGTGCATGTATTCCGTATACGTCTCATATCGCACCGTAATCATCATCAAGACCTTCCAGGAATTGGTATAGCGTGATGAAGACGGGCCGGCGCTCTCACGTCGAGTGGTATGCCGACCGTTACTGTACTGCCATTGGACCGTGATCCCCGGGACTACTATAGTCGGCGTCGAATTGAACTGCAAGAGAGCAGCCAATTACGTCTTTCAGCTGCCTTCCTTCTCACGGCTCATTGGGCTGTCATGATTCATAAGCACCTTCATCAAACTGCGTGTCCTGGATCCGACCGTCAATTGGGCCATTCTCCTGGTAGATGCGGATAGGACAGCGCGGAGATTGTACCTGGCCGCGCCTCAGGCCATGGACAAGACAACGTGCATAAACCAACTGATTGGCGGGCACTTCCGCCGGGAGTCCGGGACCAGTACCACCATCAATGTGCGACGATGGTCTGGGCTGCGTTAAACAGGTCGAACAAAGCAGGTCGATCGGCGGATGCGACGTTGCCCAAGAGAGAAGTCGTCACGGCGGGGTGTGATTCGCCCGGCGCTTAATAAAAGCTCTAATAACTTCTGGCAGGGAGAAGCAGGATTCAGGAAAAAGGAAGCTTGACTCAATCCTGAAGGAGAAGGTCGCCTGGCTAGTGCCTGTCGATCGGTGGCATGGACGCCACCACCAGTACAACTACCACTTATCGCCGTGTCCACACACATCAATGATCATGTGGTCACGAACGGGTAGGTGGTTTTGGCCTGGTGCGCCGCGAGCTGTCTTATTGCTATTATTATAAGGGCCAGTGCCCGTCAGCGTCTGCTCAATGAAAGCAGCAGCGCGGAAACAGCAGCAGACTCAGTCACCATGGCCCTCCCTCACACAAAGTTGGCGGCCCTGCTAGGTTTCCTAGGCGTGTCCCAGCTCGCGTCGCCCGCCCTCGCCGGCGCGCCCAAGACGTGCGCCAGCACTGGGGCGGCGGCGCAGCTCTCGTGCCACAACACGACGGCCGTGACCGACACGTGCTGCTTCAACTCGCCGGGCGGGTCGCTGCTACAAACACAATTCTGGGACACGGCGCCCGCCGTCGGCCCGGCCGACTCGTGGACCATCCACGGCCTGTGGCCTGATCACTGCGACGGCACATACGACTCGACCTGCGACAGCAAGCGCGCCTACACCAACATCTCGGCCATCCTGACCGCCGCCGGCGACGGGGACCTGTTGGATTACATGAAGACTTGTATGTATATTTTCGAGTCTCTTATTTCCCCATATGGCCATGTCCAGGGCGCGAATTTCCTCTTCTAGTCTGTCATATGCTCCCGAGACACGCATTACGACTCCATTTTACTCCACAAAACATCTAAAAGAAGTAATTGCTGACTCTAATTTGCTTGACGACTGGCTGCCGAATGACAGCACTGGGGAGGAGTTCTGGGAGCAGTATGTATTATGCAATGGCCATCTCTTCAGGGCTTCTCCGGCTACCGCAATGAATCATTCGAACATGTAATTTACTGACACCTTCCTCCCAGCGAATGGGGCAAGCACGGCACCTGCGTCTCAACCCTGGCGCCCGCCTGCTTCACCAGCTACCAGCCCACAGAGGAAGTGCCCTACTTCTTCAACCTAACCGTCAGCCTCTTCAAGTCGCTGCCGACCTACGAGTGGCTCGCAGCGGCTGGCATCACGCCCAGCAGCACCAAGACCTACACGCTCGCCGCCATTCAGGCCGCGCTATCCAAGAACCACGGCGGCGAGGAGGTCTACATCGGCTGCACTTCTAGTGCTGTCGAGCAAGTATATTACTACTTCAACGTCCGCGGCAATGCCATCACGGGCGAGTGGGTGCCCGCTAGTCCCGATAGTAGTGATGACGGCGGATGTCCGAGCACGGGGGTGAAGTACCTGCCCAAGGGCACGGGCACCACGCCACCGACCACGACAACGACCACTACCGGGGGTCCGTCGCCCACGGCCACAGGCGGCGTGTTCGCCGGCAAGGGCTACCTCAATGCCGTCACGGGCGGATCTACCAAGGGCTGTCTGATCTCGGGCGGGACGTGGTACACGACTGGCACGTGCGCGACCTTCACCGCGACATCCTCGGGCAGCGGGTTCTCGCTCAGCACGAGCAAGGGCGACTGCTCGGCGGCGTCGGGGTCGCTGACGTGCGCGTCGAGCGTCGAGTCCCCGGGCGTGTTCGCGGCGGAGGGGTCGGCCCTGCTGAATTCGGCTGCGGGTGCGGACGACTGGTTTGCGGACTCGGTGCCGAGCGGGTCGACGCAGGGGACGGTTTATGCGGCCGAGGGCAGCCATGGGACTACGTTGCAGCTGCAGTGGCAGAGCGTGTAGGCAGCCTATATGTCTCTGTCTAGATCTACTATATAAACCCTTCACGGCTCTCGACATTGGCGAAATCGTTTTGATATTCAGGCCTCAGTATCTATCCACTTGTTTAGGGGCATTTTTACGAGATGCTTAGCCCTTCAACAACTGACGCTAAGCTGCTAACCGCACGATATCTTCTGGGTTTCAAGGTTCGGTCAGCCACGCGGGACACAATGAGAGTTATGGAATGAGAAGGATGACATGAGAGCCTCTCGATCTCATTGCTCATGAATCATGCCTGAGACTAGGTATGGCTCAATAGCATTTGACAATGGAGCGGGCGATGCTGGCGAGACTGGAAGCATAATGCCTGACGAGGAGATGTGCCGCTTCTCGTCCGCGAAGGTGCCCGAGATAGTCGCGATGAAGTACCTGAAATCCAAGAGATCACTGGTCCTGCGACGCTGCTTACGGTCTCGCAGTGGATGCAGGCACGGTATGATGACTGGACCTGCAAGCCCCGCGATTATGCTACGGTATAAATGTGACCCCCCTTAAGGGGCGCAGGCTCTCACGGTGACCCTTGAACAGGGAAATGTCCAGCAATCTTACCGAATGGACCGTCGCTGCGCCCGAGGCTCTCCGGTAGGCAGTCTTCTAGCTACGCCGGTTGTCACATTGTACGCCAGGTCCGCGCCCGTCCGAACAGAGGTATCTCGAAGAACTACATACCCCTGAACATATAGCCCGAGGTTCCTATCGTTCAATTGACGAAGCTCTTCGACTGCGAGACGGTGATGAGATGAGTACGGACACAGGCGACCCTCAATCAGCGTAGTCGCCTGCAGTGAGCACCATGGATCCGGCTTCGGTCATTGGGCTTTCAAGTGCGATCCTCGGCATCGTTACTGCCAACACCAAAAGCGTTAAATCCCTCTCGGACATGCGAGCCAGATACCAGATCACGGATCTCAAGGTCAACCTACTCATCGGACACCTGTCGACGCTCAAAGCCGCGCTCAATAATGTCGCTGACTTGGCTTGCGGCAGCTCAGCTGCTGCAACGCACAAGCAACTTGCCAGTGATCTTTCCGTCTTTTTGAAATGCTGTGATGAGCTCGTCTTCGTTCTCGACGAGCGTGTATCTGCTCTACAGCGGAACGAGGCCAACGGGCTTTCTAATTCGAGCAAATTCAACCTATTATGGCACGACCCGGAAATGAACGAATATTTTGAGATGCTCAACAACCAGATGAACGCGCTCAACCTCCTTCTCACGTCACTACAATGGTTAGTCCAATTCTCCGACGACATATTTGGCGAAAGCAAGCTAAGGACCACAGCCGTACCATTTTCGAACAGCATGACCTCCTCCAGAGCGATGAATCGCGTAGAATATTCTCACAGGTCAAAGACGACACATCATCTCTTCTTTGGCTGAGAGATTCAGAGTCCAGTGGTACAAGCCGTAGTGCCTGGACGCAGGACCTAAGCGCGATCAAGACAATTTTCGACTTCGACCGCGAGGTTTTCACATCGAAGGTGTACCGAATGGCAACTAGGTCAAACATGGTAAATGCTATCTGGGCTGACGCTCGTTCGATCCTGAGCATCAGTACCATGGGAGCACGTCAGAGCCGGTTGGGGAGATACATCACGAATGGATTTGAAGTCACGCTAGACAATGATGCCGCTACCACTACCAGTACCGTGAAGCCAGGAGCACAGACTGACGCCACTGGACAACAACGGGAAGAGACCTTGAAGCTTCCTATAATCATACACTCTCGTCAGTCTCTACATCCCCGCCTAGCTACGACAGGACAGCGTCAAACCTCGTGGTTCAAAGCGGAAAGCGTGTCGTCTTCGCAGCGGAGAACGCCAAACCGTCAGAGGAACGTCTACATGACGCCTGTTCGCGAACCGAATCATATAACGGGCGCTGGGTCGCGCAAACCCGAAAAGGTCATGCGAGTACTTCTTGCAGGGATTTCAGCTAGCGGGAAGAGCACGCTTGTGAAAGCTATCATGGCTAAACTCGATCAGTACGATACCAAACACCGTCTGATGTGTAGACCTGTCATTTTGTCGCATGCCAGCCGTTGTGTCCTGAAGCTGGTCGGACTTCTACGTGACGCCAGGGTCGATACGGTCTTGAGATATTTCAATAATTACACCCTCGAGGAAGTTGTCGGAGAGTTGGAAAACCGTGGTGAGCTGCTAATCGAGTTGGAAATCTGGAATTCGTCCGAAATCCGAACCATGGTTGCGCAAGAGATGGTCAAATGCAACGATCCCGAATTCATGGAATAGTAAGTGCCAATTCTTCGTCCCATACATTCGCAGCACTTCGCCAGCATCTGGATCACATTGGGGCCACGCGTTGGGTGTTACCGGCAATCTCACCAAAAACTTATTTGACATGTTGTCAGCTTCCTTGATTCGATCCGTCGCATAGCTCGGGCGGATTACATCCCAATACTTGAAGACATTCGACGCGTTCCGGTCATAAGTCTAGGATTGAACGAATCGACTTTTAGTATTAACGGACAAACCTACACCTTCATAGACCCCGGGGGAGTGCCGGTCGAGCGCAAAAAATGGGCCCATGCCTATCCTGGCCTAGACGTCATCATCTTCACTCTCGATCTATCATACAGCCCGATGCTGAGCAATAGCGCGAAGGGGAGTCGATGAGCGTCCAGTTGAACATCTGGGAATATCTGCTTAACAACAGCCAAGTGCCGACCGCGAAACTGGTCGTAATCTTCACTAAGGAGGACAGACTGACCCCAGAACACTTGACGCAATTCCCGTTCGCTAAGGCGTTCCCTGATTTCCAGGGAAATGGCCAGGATGTCGAGCATATCATCCAATACTTCGCATCCCGGCTCCTCCTCTCGGTTCATCGTGCGGACTCAGCTTACCCGCTTCAGAAGAGCCGCGTGCTCACATTTTGGCGAAGCAGCATACACGATACACTGCATGACTTGGCGAATATTGTATTTGAGGCGCTCCAGATCGTTCAAGAACAAGACTAAGCAGCCCCAGCTTGGGAATGCGAGTCTTCTCTACTAGGGAAGAGCAAAACCAAAAGGTCCTTGAAGTTGAGCAATGTCTCTTCAAAATTCCCGTACGTGAGATACGACGAAGATCACATTCCGTGTCGCAATTCGGTCTACGCGACCTATACGGAGATCCGCAGAAGCGCCCACTGCAGACGTTGATGCCCCATTCCACGCATTCAACACGAAGGCATATTGGCTTCGCCTTCCCTCTACTTTCGCGCCGTTGAGTGAACCTCATTACTCATTGAACGTCACAGAAACCTTCCCAGAAAATACCTAGGGGTGCCACCGCTCTTCCAATCCATCGGCCTGGACTCCGCTGGCAGACTCCACGCTGTGGAAGTCCCCGCTTGTGAACCAGTCGCAGATGGCAGCCCGTGGCCGATGGTCCTGCCGGCGGGTAGCTCACTCGGCCACGGATCTCCGATCTCCTGGTGAGGATAGCAACTCCTCGGCAGCGGCGCGTTGACATTGTCGTGTTCTATAAGTGTAGCCCTAATATGTCTGTTGATTTGGCTGCCGTGCCGTGTATACAGGAGCTGTTGGTGGTGGTTGGACAGGTCCTTTGAACTCCTTCGCCTTCTTCTTCTTCAGCCTCAACCAGGAGAATGTCAGGCCGCCGGACTCAGGGCAAGGAGGACGGCGAAGACTGCGCTTACTGTTATTGCAGCTGGAGGGAAGCTCGAGCTTGGGTTTGGGCTGGAAGTAGAGATACCACGGGAGCTGGAGCTGGGACTCGACATCGAGTCAGTCGATGAGCTTGCCTGGATGATGACAGTTGCGCTTTTCTGCAAGCTCGTCAACACTGCCGAAGGCGATGGGGCCGTCGAAGTCCCCGAGACCACCTTGCCCGCAGCGACATAATCAGTCAAGCGGCTTTTCCCATAGCCGTTGAGAACAGCCTTAATATAACCCGATCTGAAGTCGAAAAGCGAGGTCTCATTGCCACAGCGCGAGCCATCTCCCCTTTGGCAGCAAACATTCCCTGCCTTCATGCCGCACCTCACGATCCAGATGCCAATTTTCAGCATGCCTAACGGTGTTCAGGTCAGCACCGGGTCTCTTGTGTAATTTAGCGCACGCGATCGCGAAATGTTCTCTTACACACCTCTCACCTCACGCGAGCTCACGGCAACAGACAGTATCTCGAATTCGGAGGATGAGGCAGATGCGCCCACCTCACAAGTATTCATCAGCGCAGCATTCCCGACACGGAAACCGTGGCTCATCAGCACATACAGCGTATAGAGATCTTGGTTACAACACTCCATTCCAATCTGGAGAACGCGAAGGATAACGTCCGACAACACTATATTCCCGGTTATCGTGTTCCATTCAAGCGGCAGTCCGTCGATGCTCCCCAAGGCGCAAGCCATGATTGAGCGCTTGGTGGTTTGCGGAACCAACAACTCAAACTCACGTGTTGGTGACACCAGTGTCTTCTCTTTTTGGAATCTCGACACAATACAGGCTATTGATTATGCCGTGTGGACAAGGCCGCCGATTCTATTATGGCAAACAGACTATTTAGGTGCGTAATAGGAAGCTCAAGATACATGTCCCACGAACTACGGGGGAGCCAAACTGCAATATCATTCACATTCGCAACCTCACATTCGCAACCTCACATTCGCAACCTCACATTCTACCCCAAGGGATGAGTGGCATTTCAAACCGAGTACCATATCTCATATTGGCACCGTTTGCCAATAGATAGCTTGCCTTTCTTCCAACCAGGACACAGAGCGGCTGTAGCCCCTGTTGTTTGACCGTGCTTCTTCTGGCTCCAGCTATGACTACATACCCTACACCTTATTTTTCAGTACAGCCATCAGATACGTCGATAGTATTGAACTGTCTACGTCGGCGAGCGGAAGTTTACGCAGGCAGCGTTCCTCGGCATCGGGTGCCTGCATGATCTAGTCGCGACCCTGGGCACGGCAGCGAACCGAGGTGGGTTCAAAATAATGGATAATTAAGAGTAAAAATGAACTTGCACTGGGTAGTACAGAACATTTCAGTGTCACCTGCATGGCTGGCTGCTCTGTCCGACCTTGGCGGTGCCATCACTGCTATTAGCGGGCGTGCTAGTGGTTGCTACTCGGTGTCCGGCCAGGGTTCCGACCAACTCAACGGATATCAACATGTTGGTTGAATTGACGTTAAAATCTACGTTAATTCAAATAGCTACTTCGTAGCTTCTTAATGCGCTCCGCGCATTTTGCGTGTAGGTTTACGTGTGACTGGTTGGTCTAGCTGTACCTAGCTGGCGACAGGCGACGCCGCTTTCACGGCTCTGTTGCTACTGATGGGAGAATTAAAGTAAGAACGGAAAGAAATATCGACAATAATACTTACTACTACACCTAATATATACGCAGCCTAAAGTATTTCTATCTATGACTTTTTAGTCTAGTTATACCTAGATGGCAGCAGGGAACGCCGCTTCCGCGGCTTTACTGCTACACTCCCCGGCCATAAGTCTCTGAGCATCCTTATTTTACACCAAAACACCCCAACTTTACGCTATCGTAGTAAATCAAGGAAAATAAATACAACTTAACTACTTATAGAACATATGGTTAAACTTATAAGAATAATAAAATGGCTTATTTAAGAAATTATATGTCTCGAAGATAATGGTAGTAAATATTACCTTTTTAAAAGTAAAGTTTTTGATAAAATAACCTTTTAAGATAATTGATTTTTAAAAATTCATTTAAGTGAAAAACTATAGAATATAAGTAGACTACACGTTAAGAAATAGTACATGACTTTATTATAACGTAGAATGTTTTTTTTGTCATGACGCGTAAATAGGATGAGTACATAAAAGTCCTGATTGCACTACCTACGTGTAAGAATCTCTTGGTGGGGAGGGAAAGAAGGATCTGACCCGTCAGCCCATTCTGGTGGGATTAATGATCCTTCCATCCGCCCCACTATTACCTAGCCTAGTACAGTTGTGGCCACACGTCTTGTGCGCCAGGTCATGTGATGCTGCGCACAGGCCACCCTGATGGGTTGACAGACTTCCAGAAGGTCAGACCGTCACATTTTTAACATTTTATATAGCTTTATTAAATTTGTGAGATTCTAGAAGGGTCACAAGCCTTGGGGGTGTGAGCAGTCGTTGCAAATGTTGTTGTCATTCTCAAGTATGCTCGGCAGGGCTAATCTACAGCTAAATACCATACTGCACCATGCCAGGGTGTATCCACTATTCCCTTGACAGCCCCCTAGTGGGTACTGCACCTAAGGGCACCATATCTGGGATCCTACATCTGACAAATTTTGATATTTTTCATTTTAAAAGTTTACTTTTATATATCCATTTTCTCGCATTTTAATGGCCTATAAATTTAATATTGGAGAATTAGTTACCTATAATACCTTATTTTTAAAAGATATAGGTCTCTAGTTATAAAAGTGTAAAGATAGGGCATTTTGGTTTAAATGTAGGGATGCTCGGAGACTTATGGTGGGTCAGTGTACGCAGCATAACTATAACGCTATAACAGCGTGCAGAGCGTATAATTATTACTTTAAATAAATCTAATAACGGCAACGTAAAAAAAAAAGCATTTTTAAGCGAAAAAAAATACATTACGGTAATGCGGTTTTTCTTATATACATATATTTTAAATGCACCTACTAGTTGGAATACTATAGAAGAAGAGATCCTCTCGCCATACCATCACTGTGGCACCTGGACCCCAGCAGTTCATCAGAAGCCTACCAACACAAGCTTTGTCCAACCAAGCGATTGTCACTACCTTCCAACCAGCAAGAGCATCACCTGATCAGAAGACTCTCCGTCTCTCTGCAGCCCCTGACAGGAAGCACATTGACCGATCACGCATACCCCACAAGGCAGAAAGCATTATATGCTACTTGTGTGGCAAAGAGGGCCATATCGCTCCTAAATGTCCAAACGAAAGAACTCCTCATGTACATTTTCTGGAAGAAGACAATGAGGCCTCTTCTGGTCTGACCCAGGATGTTACTTCTGACAACAAGTCAGAAAACTCAAAGGCCTAAGGAAAGTCTCCCACCTAGGCCTCCAATGTACTATTAATCAATTAGCTCACCACTCCCTTGAAATTCCATCACTTCGATCAGACCTCTCTGGCTTGATTGGCGGCAGTACCTTTGTGATGACTGCAACCATCCGATGGAATGGAATTGCAGTGCGTGTGAAAGTTTTGATTAATACCGGAGCAGAGGTTTATCTTTTAGGCAGCCGTTCAATCATGAGCCCCTTGGCTCAACGATGGGAACTCCCTCAAAGACATTTTGATGAGCCCGCCACCCTGAATGGCTTTGGCAAGGGACATTCACAGATTATCAACACAGCAGTTGCAGCAAATTTCTAGATTCAGGGAAGAACCTTCCGGAAAGCCCCTATCCTAGAAACGGAGTTTGGACCTAGCAAGAACTTTGACCTTTTTATTAGCAAGCGGTTTTTGGCTGTTTACAACCTCTTACCAGACTGCCAGCGGAACCGCCTATATTTCTTACCAGAACTACCTTTCCTTACCAACTGGAAGACCGACATCACTAACCCAGCTCGCCATTGGTTAAGGCAACGGGCTATCAATCCTCAGGCCCAGCAGGACATGCTCCATAGGGATTCACAGTGGGAAGACCAAAAGAAACGCCCGCAGAAGATACTACGTCGCCCCCAAGTGCTGGCTACATTGGCAAGAGACCATCATCAGTTCTTACAGGCTATGAAAGACCAGCTAGCCGGACGGGACCGCCCGGCATCCTTGCAAAAGACTTCCCCACACCAGGCTGTTCATCCCAAGGTTAGCAAATACGCAATAGTGAACGCTCTGG